AGATTTCAATGGTAATATTTTTCACATCTACTAATTATTAAGGAGCAAATTTGTATGCTTTGAAGAATTATTTTTTTGATTTTTTAAAAAATTTAATAACCACGATTAGAAGAAGCATTTCATTACAGCTTTAACATATCTAATAACAGTTTCTAGAGCAAAGATATGTCTCTTTCAAAAGTGGCTATAAAATTTTTAGGTTCACTGTTGAATTAATACAGTTTTACAATATTGAACTCAGTATAAACCCTGTAAGACAAAAATTGAGTTTTTAACCTTGATACTTGCTACTTTAACCTTTAAACTTGCTACTACTTGATAACTGATGTTATTTTACAGCTGAAAAGACAGGTGTAAGGCTGTAAAGTATACCTTTCACACCTGACGTGTTGCCCATCCATTGGGGATTTCACTTGTGCTATTTTAGTTGTTTGGGAGACTTCATTACACAGGCGAATCAGAGATTCCTAAACCTCATTCTCAGTATGACTGCCTCCAGAATCTGAATTTTAATAGGAAATTTCTCAGGCATATATGAAGTGACAGAAACTTCCATATATTCACAACATAGGTTAAGAAATAAAATATTGCAGATATGTTTGAAAACCTGCATGCTCTCATCCAGAGGTACAAAAACTCTGAGTATGGTTGTTATTTTCCTACATCTCCATTCTTTTATTATATAATAAATATATGATTAAACATCCATAGCAAAATGTAGCATTATTTTCCATGATTTCAATACTTACATAGACATGATCACCATGTACATGCTCTTTGACACTTCTTTCGAAGATTCCCATTGTGGTGGTGAGAATTAATGCACACGGGTACCTGCAGCTCCACAGGGCTTCTTTGTATTTGTTTAGACAGCACCCATTGTGCAGCATGTGCTGCCGAGTTTTCAGTCTCCTGTGGGGGACAGTTACGTTATTTCTAGACTTTAGCTCTTACAGTCAGTACTACTCATGACATTCTTGGGCACATCTTTAGCCTGGAGACTGCTATCATTTGGATAACTGTCCTCAAAGATGCATGTGTTGAAAGTTTGGTCCCCGGCCTAGAGGGGAACAGGGAGATGACAGATCCTTTAGGAGGCTGAGCTAGTGTCAGGAAGTTTCATCACTGAAAAGTGCCCTACAAGAACTCCAGCCCTCTTCCTTTGTCTTTGCTTGCCAGGCACCTTGCTGTGAACAGCTTCTTTCATTATACATTCCCATCATGATACAGTATGCTGCCACTGGGCCAGAACAATAGGACCATACAGCCCTGGGCTGAGACTCTAAAACCATGAGTGAAGTAGTCCTGTCCATCTTTTAAACTGGTTGTCTTGGGCACTTTGCTACAGCCACAGAAATCTGACTGACACAGCCTATGAGTGGAAGCAGAGCTGTGGTGAGAGCTGTCTTGTCCTTGGTGACTCCATTTCTCCTCCACCAGCAGTGTGAAGACTACGTCCACCACATCCTGCCAGCATTGCAGTATTGTCCACCTGCTATTTCTCAAGCACTTAAAAAAATTTAGTGCGCATTTACCCTTCATTCACCCACCAATTAAGATCTTGTCACATATGCTTTATCTCATACATAATTTTACATGATTTGGATGTATTTTCAAATATATATTTTTCCTGAACCACTTTACTAGGCTGAAAAATGTAATTTTGAAAAAAAATTTAATACTATTTTTTGAGACAAGATCTTACTATGCAGCTCAGGCTGAACTTGAACTGTGATCTTCCTGCCTCTGCCTCTGAGTGCTGGGATTATAGGTGTGTTTTACTGTGCCAGCAGGAAATGTAATAGTTTGGTCAGACTTCATGTTTGTCAGTCTGCTGGATTTTAAATGGCATCTTTCTCCCATTTTTGTATTTTGAAAATGTTTATATTTGCAAGAATATTGAAATAGTTCAATATCTATTAACCATCTTAGACTTAATAAATATTTTGCTGTGTTTTGCCATTATAAATATATAACCTTTTGTTCCTGTTCATTATAAAGTTTCAGACATCATAACATCAGCCTTTCATCACTTGTTGCTTAAAATTAGTTTCCTGCATCACTACAATACCTTACTACACCTGGGAAAACTAAGAATAATTCCCTAGTGTCCTGTAAGATCTGAACCATGTTCAGATTTTCCCAACTATCCAAAATGTCTTTTATGATAGTCTGTGCATGTGGCCCAGTCTAGTAGTGCTCTAGATCGTTCTGCATTCTCTATTTGCCTGATTGTTTCCTTGTGATGTATTTACTTTGTTCCTCCATGCTCCATGTGAAGTACTATATCATTTTAACTCCGTTTCCTCTGAATACTGGAGAGGCTCAGTGCCTCTCATTCATTATTTACTCCTCAAATTTCTTCAACTTAGTGAATTCTTACTTGTATTCTTTGACTGTTTTTTCCATTTGACTATCTTTTCTTTCAAATCTTAATGATTTGCAAGAATTCTTTATGTACTGTGGATATTAACTCTTTGTTGGATATGTATGCTGTCTGCATTTCCTACAAGCAGCCTAAGTGATTGCACTGCCAAGTGTCTCTGGACCACCTATTAAGAAACTTCTCTAGAAGTTATCACAGGATCTTCCTCTTTAATTCAAAGTAGTTTAATTCTTCAGTATCCCAAGTAAGTGAGTGGAAGTTGTAACATTTAAACCCCCCCCCGAAAAAAAAGTGACATGTTAATCAGCATGGACTTAAGGAGCTGAAGGCACCGGGTTTTCATCTCGGTGAGTACAGAGCCAGGTGAAGCACAGCTAGGCATGATGAAGCAGAGGAATATTTATCCCCTGATGGCCAAGGAGCACAAGGGAAGTGTCTTCAAAGGCTGCGCTCCTTGAAGAGAGAAAGCAGAGGGATTTTATTGAGGGAGCCCATACATTTTTATGCAGGGGTTGACCCATTGCTAAGTATCCTTAGCACAGTATTACATTCCTGAGCATGTTCAGTTGTAGGCCATGGAACACTTGTTTAAAAGATTCAGGTGCTAGACATATATGCTTTTGGGCATGCTCAGCTTGCACCATAAAGCTTTAGCTGAAAATAAAGGACACTTTCAAGGTACAGTAATATAGGAGTGTGCCTTTGAAAGTGCTTGCCTTTCTTAGTAGCTAACGCTTTTGTTTTTAAGATAGGGTCTCCCTGCCACCCCAGCTGACCCTGAGAACGTGCTGTGTAGACCAGGCTGACCTCAGTCTCACAGAGATCCCCCTGCCTCTGCCCCCTGAGTGCTGGGATTAAAGGCACGGGCCACCACATCAACACTTTCGTTAGCACTCACTTGTATCACTAACATTCATTTATATCACTACCATCTTTAGTACTAGGGAATGCTAGTCCCCTCTTCTTTTGATAAGTGAATACACTGGTTTAATTGGGAAAGTGTCAACTTTAGAGAGATCTAGGTTCATAGCTTGACTCTCCTTCTAGCTACCCGGTGCCATGTGATTTATTTAGATGGTCATTCTCTAGTTTCTTGTCTATAAAACTTCTAAGTTGCCTTACTCAGTTGTTATAAACACAGAAAAGCAGTGACAGTGAGAACATTCCCTTTTTGTAAGTTTTTTTCAGTCCTGTCTTCCTCATGTGCTTTCATACTAAAGTCACACAAAAGGCTAGTTTAGAAAGCAACTTTGGTGACTTTTCAGATTACATTTAATAGTCTGTATTTCAACTAGGATATGACAGCACAAGGCTTCAGCTCATTGTTAATGACGACTTCCTATGCTAGGTGGCTGCTGGCCAGCATTTGGTACTTAAGCTAGTTATAATGACTTGCAAATGATTATGAAGCATGGTTAGGATTCCGCATTTAAACATGCCAAATCTTTCCAGGAGCTCGCAGAGCTAGAAAACGCCCTCCAGGAACAGCATGAAGTGAATGCTTCCCTGCAGCAGGCCCAAGGAGATCTCAGTGCCTATGAAGCTGAGCTAGAGGCTCAGCTAAAACTAAGAGATGCTGAAGCCAACCAGCTCAAGGAAGAGTTGAAAAAACTCACAAGGCTTACTCAGGTAAGTAGGAGCACATGCCAAGTAGAAACTATGGAGCCTGTGCCATCTTTCCCTTTCTTTTTACTTATTTGTTTGTTTGTTTGTTTGTTTTTGAGATAGCAGTTTACTATGTAGCCTAGACTGGTCTAGAATTCACGGCAGTCATTCTGCCCCAGTGTTCTGTAGTGCTGGGATTACAGGCATGGCAACCATACCTGGCTCCCTTTATATAGGTCTTAGCATTAAATACTTTCTAATATAATGGATATGAGTCGATGGAAAGGGCATATTTTGGGAGCCTGACATTCTGAGTTCACACAATAGTCCTATGTGAACATGGGCAAATCATTTCATGGCTCTGAGCCTCGCAGCCTGTTCCTCTGTTTAATGGCAGATGGTAAGAATAATGACATAATGGTCATTGAAACACCTTGTAGTTAATATTAAATAAATTCTAGTTTTCCTTCCCTAGAATAGCTTTAAGAGGCTTCTGTTTTAAGTTGATGTTAAATTTTAGTTTGCTGTTTCCTTTTATGATTGGCTGAAAGATACACTAGTTTGTTATACTTGCAAATTAGAGAAAACATTGTCTCAGCAATAAATACTTCTCCATTAGTCACTGAGGACTTGGTCTGAGGAGTTGATAGTCCAAAAATGAAGGAGAGAAAGGGACAGGCTTCGGGGGGGGGGGGGAGTCGTGGGCGGCAAGCCTTTAGAAATGGTGTTTCAGCAGAGACATGAAAGGTGAAGGGGAGAGGGGTGTCAGTGCTCCTGGAAAAGGGTTAGGGAAAGAACAAGGTGCTGCAAGTGTGCTCAGGATGCCAGGCAGAGAGAGAGGGGCAAAAGAAGAGGGAGGAAGCAGGATAAAGACAGCTGCAGAGGCCAGCTGCCACGTATTCTTTACCACATTAAAAATACAGTGTTGTTTGGGTTATTAGCGAGATGGCTACTATATCTTCCTCCAGGAAGCCCATCTTAACTTTCTCTTTCTCCCTACTGAAAATCTAAGTTCAAGATTTGACTTTGGCTTTCCTCCCACCTAGATCAGTAAAGGCATTTTTGTGTTTAATGATCAGCTGCTTATGTAGCCTGTGCCCTCCTTCCCCCAAAGCTAGACTTAGAGCTCAAGTAAATGACTAGATTGTATCTTATTTCTGTTTTCTCAGTGCCTGGCACATGAAATGAAATAAGATCATTTTGTCAGCTGTTGTGGTTTGTCTTTTAAGAAAAGGTCTTGCTATTTACCAGGCTGGCCCCAGATCCACAATTGTTTTGCCTTCCTCATCTCAGATCTGATATTACACAAATGTGCAACCATGTCCAGCTAATAAGACAGTTTGGATCTCAAAAGTACATGCTACAGAATACTTGTGTGATTAGAAAAGGAACTAAAAATAGACCTGTTTATTTCTTTAGTTACCAGATACCAGTATCTTGCCAATTGACAGGATTTTATACAAACACGTGTGTGTGTGTGTGTGTGTGAGAGAGAGAGAGAGAGAGAGAGAGAGAGAGAGAGAGAGAGAGAAGAGGAGAGGAGAGGGGAGAAGGGAGAGGGAGGGGAGTCTCACTGTGCAGCCCTAGAAACTCAATGTAGACCAAGCTGGCCTCAAACTCAAAGAGATCAGTCTGCCTCTCCCCTAAGTGCTGGGATTTAAAGGCATGTGCCACCATGTCTGGCCATAAATACATATTTTTAAATAGTAGTAAAGAAAATCTCTAAATAGCATCACCTTAAAATAAACTTTATTTTCAAGTCAGCTCTTATTTGTTTGATTGATACTATCTTTTGTACATCCATTCTTTTTCTTTTTAATTCTTGACAAAAATGTCCTAAGAACCTTGACTTTTTACCACTTCACTTGGTATTGAAGGCAACACTCCATCCTTTAGCAGCTAGAATGGTCTTCAGTCCGCACATCACATAAAGGATCTTGGCCCTCAAATTGGTGCACTTTAGTGATATGAAATCACTTGTGAAGCTTGTTAGGTGTAGATTCCTTAGTACTTGACCTGAGTCTGAGATTGAGTATGGGCATCAGCTATTTTATTTTGTGCTTTCTGTTTGTTTTTTCCTTTTTCCTTTGAGGCTTTGAGACCAGATCTCACTCTGTAGATCAGGCCAGCCCCTAACTCTCAGTCCTCCTGCCTCAGCCTCCCAAGTGCTGGGATTATAGACGTGCATCACCATGCCTGGCTTCATCTGCATTTTTATCAGATGTGTGATATGATTATGATATAGGTATTTGAGGACTACAGTTTGCTTTTAAAGGTGGGAACTTGGGATATTGTATCTAAGCTGAGCTGATTTCCCTTCAAATATAAATAGTTAAAGGGGAATGTGGAAAAATTATCTTGGGTTTTTAAATTTCAGAGTATATACACAAAACAATAGCAATGATTTGTACGCACATGTAAATTTACCTATGCCTTTTTGGATCTTAAATTATGACCATTTTACAGTTTCATATCATTGCTTCCTCTTATAACAGTTAGAACAATCGGCTCTTCAAACAGAACTTGAGAAGGAAAGACAATCCCTCAAGAATGCCCTTGGGAAAGCCCACTTCTCAGAAGAAAAGGAACAAGAGAATAAGGAGCTCCGCACACAACTTAAACAGCTGCAGGTAGAGATCTGTTCTCTTAGAGTACATTCATACATAGGGTATCCAGAGAGGATGGCCTTTAGTCAGGCATTTAACCACCTGTTCAGAACCTGAATTATTAGGTAAAAGAGAACTCTGGGTAGAGTAGTTCCACAGCCTCAGTGTCAGTATTAAAACAGTATACTGTGTGAAGTCTGCCTCTTCTCCATGAAAGTAGTACCTTACATTTCTCCTAGAAACTCTGTCACCAGACAGATAAAACTATTAGATTGGTGCATCCTCTTTCACTGAAGTATCTTGTAATTATCTATGACTTTAACTGTAATGGGTTGCAGTAAGATTTTTTTAATTATAAAGTTTTCACAATCTTTTCAGAAAGGATGCTATTAGAAATGGAATCAGTTTATCTTTTGTCAGAAACGTATTACAAAATATTTTCACAGTTGTCCTCAGAATAATCTGTGTAGCAAACTGCAGAAAAAGTGGATAGACAGAATTTTCCAGATAACTCTCTCCAAGATGACAGGCGTTTGAAAAAATGGCACTCAGATCTTCCAGTTTTGTGAAGTCGGGGGTGCTTTGCTACCTGAGGTGGCCACTGTGATGATCAGAAATAGTGGGTCATAGTTTGTGTGGTTTGGTGAAAGGCATCCAAAAACACATGCAGGGAGGTCTGTGACAAATAGACTAGACCTGCCCCGATTTTTTTTCTTTTTCTAATACCTCAAGTAGCCTTTCCTCAAAACTTGAGAAAATCTGATAACTTAGACTTTTTTTTTAAATTTTGGATTTATTTTTATTTTGTGTATGAGTATTTTACCTGCATGTAAGTGCAGCACATTTGTGCAATGCCCACAGAGGCCAGAAGAGGGCATCTGATCCCCTGGACCTGGAGTTACAGGCGGTTGTTAGCTGCCATGTGGGTGCCAGGAACCAAACCCAGGTCCTTCGCAAGAGCAGCCAGTGCTCTTAACCCCTGAGCCATCTCTCTAGCAACAAACTTAGAATTTTTAACTGCTGCTAATTCAACTTGTGAAGTGAATATCTTAGAAGATATGTGTTTTCAGTTATGTGTGAGAAAGGCATGTGGTTAGTTCCAACTTCTGAAGCAGATATTGTAGAAGATGTATGTTTTCCATTCTGTATGAGAAAGAAGGGTGTGGGGTTTGTGTGTGTCTCTAGATTATTATTTGTCTCTGGATTATTTTAGTTTCACTATGGAAATTTTTAAATAATCACAAAACCAGAATAATCCCATGACCTTTGATCCATTCCTAGTTTATACAATTGTCAACTTTGTTACATTTAGTCTACCTTTTTCTTTGTCTGAATATTTTAAAGGAAAATCAAATTATCTCTATTTCATCTCGTGTGCTATATAATGCCAATTGTCTACTTGACACACCTGGGTAGAGGGAACCTCAGTTGAGGATTGCCTCCATTAGACTGGCCTGTAGCCATCCCTGTGGGGCATTTTCTTAATTGTTAAGTGATGAGGGTGGGCCCAGCCCACTGTGGGTGGTACCACCCTGGGCAAATGGTTCTGTGAAAGTACGCTGAACACAGGCCAGGGGAGCAAGCCGGTAAAGTAGCGTTTCTCCGTGGTCTGTGCTTAGCTCCTGCCTCCAGGTTCTTGCCCAGAGTTCCTGCCTTGACTTCCCTGGGTGATGGACTGTGCAGTAAGCCAAGTAAACCCTTTCCTCCCCAAGTTGGTTTTGGTCAGTGTTTTCTTTTTTCTTTGGGGGGTGGGCGTCTTATTGAGACAGACTCTCCCTGTAGCCCTAGCTCTCCTGAAACTCACTATGTAGACCAGGCTGGCCTTGAACTCACAGAGATCCGCCTGCCTCTGCCTCCCAAGTGCTGGGATTAAAGGTGTGCGCTACGACGCCCAGGGCTGGTCAGTGTTTTTATTACAGCAGTAGAAGCTAATTAGGACACCTAGAAATACTTCAGTATGCATCTCTTATAGAAAAGGACTAAAAGCCTTCAGAGGCTTCCCTGTAAAGTAGAAACTGAATTCAACTTTCCAGTTGTAGTCTGCCTTGGGTAGAACTAGGTCCTTCAGCCTTCTAGCCTCCTGATAGAAAGTACAACTGATACCCACCTACCATTGTCTTTCTCAAAATTCATTTTGTTAAAATGAACTCATGCTAGGTCGAAGAAGAGACAGCTTGCTAAGAACCAAAGTCACTCTTAACAGCCTCCCATTTCACCTTCCCTTTTTCTCTGTGTGTTATACTTGGCACAGCATGAACCTTGTTCCTGAATTGACTGTTGTTTCAGGTCCAACTCTTCTACAGGCTTGCTATATACTATATCTTGGTTCAAATTACGGAGATAGTAAGAATCTATTTTTCTGGCTAATCACCAGGTTAGCTATCCTTGAGTCTGATCACCTAGGGCAGGATTAGGCAATAGAGATGTTCCTTGACTTATGATGGGGTTATATCCTGATAAATCCACTGTTAGTTGAAAATATCATGTTTAAAATGTACTTACTATACCTGACCTATTGAATATCCCACTGTAGCCTAGCTCACCTCAAATGTGCTATAAAGCAGGTGCATTAGCATACAGTTGGGCAGAGTTATCTTAACACACAAAGCATATTATAATAAAGTGTTGACTATCTCGTGTAATTAATTAGAAACATGATGGTATTCAGAAACACAACACAATGTACAAAGCACAGTGCCTCAGTATGCTGTAGAGAGTGGGTTATCCCTCTTGATAGCTCTGCCTGACTAGGGCCTGTGACTTCTTGCTCCACCTAGTGTCAGGAGAGAACCTTAGTGTGTATATTGCTAGCCCTGGAAAAAACCAAAACCAAAGTATAGTTTCTTCAGAAAACTGTAGAAACTGTTCTCCAGAAAAGGCAGCCTCAAGGGAGTGGGAAAGAACAATCTACAAAAAAGAGCTCTGAATGGCTCAGACATTTAACAAATTATTTGCCATTTTAGTTTCTCCATTGTGGTTAGCAGTTATACTGAGTTGAAGGAGATTCGTCACTCAGGTGTTACAGGCATCCAGTGGAATAGAATCCTTAGCTTAGTATATAGAAACACTTTTCTTTATAATTTGAAGAAATTTTAGAAGTTTCTTTTTATTGGAAAAAGGTACCATGTGAATGTAGCTCTGTGGTCAGGATATGTGCATCCATTTATTAATGATGAAAACTGCTGTCCAATAACATATTATCCATTTTGTCCCTCCATAGGATGACAATAACCTATTAAAACAGCAGCTTAAAGATTTCCAGAATCACCTTAACCATGTGGTTGATGGTTTGATTCATCCAGAAGAAGTGGCAGCTCGTGTTGATGAGCTAAGGAGAAAACTGAAATTAGGGGCTGGGGAAATGAGGTAAGGAGAAATCAAGACCCCCAAATACAAGAGTGAGCCTCACTACCTCAGAGCTACATGTCAGGGTCAGTGATGATCTGGTCTTCCTCAGTTCTTTTATGTTGTTTACAAAAGATTGATACAAGACTTTAAATTCTGGGGCTGGAGAGATGGCTCAGTGGTTAAGAACACTGGCTGCTCTTGCAGAGGACCTGGGCTCAGTTCCCACCCACATGATGACAAACAACTGTCTGTAATTCCAGTTCCAGGGCATATGATGCCCTCTTCTGACCTCCTTGGGCATTGCACATCACGGGTACACTTACATACATGCAGGCAATATGCATACACATAAAATAATAACTAAAATTTTTTTTAGAATTAGATGTTTTATATATAACTCAGAGTTTCCCCTGCCTCCTGAGCGCTAAGGATTAAAGGTATGTACCACTGTGCCCAGCTAAGTGTCTTTCTTTTTTTAATATTTAATATATTTCTTTTCTATGTGTATGAGTGTATTGCCCGTATGTGTATAAGTGTACCTGTGTTATGAAATACCCACAGACGTCAGAAGAGGGTGTTGAATCCCCTGGAACTGGAGTTATGGATGATTGCTAGCTTCCATGTGAGTGCTGGGTCCTGAACTCAGGTCCTCTGCAAGAGCAACCAATGGTCTTTAACTGCTGACCAGCCTCTCCTGCCCCCTAAGAATCTTTCTTGAAAGTTCACCTGATCAGGAGGTATATGATAAGGAAGTAGGGCCATATTACACATTTTTTTTAATTTATTTATTTTTTGGTTCTTTTTTTTTTTAATTTTTAATAACTACATGATTAGAAGAAGTGTTTCACTACAGCTTTTAACATAATTCAGTAACACACTCCAGAGCAAGAATATATCTTTCTTACATCTCAAACTTACACCATTTGGCTGTAACTTTCTAGGTTCACAGTTGAATTAATACAGTTATACAATATTGAACTCAGTATAAGCCCTGTAAGATATAAAATTGAATGAGTTTTTAACCTTTAAAAAAAGGTCTCCATTTCATTTTAGAATATATTGTTCCTTACAGAAAGACTCATTGTTTTTGCTACTAACACTGAGTTGTTGGCGCGTGCCTCTCTAATCTGTATGTATCTGATTATTACTAGTCATAATCAGTTGCACTTGGATCCTTGGCACCTGTGTATGTCTATAAAGTCATATTCCTCTTTTTTTTTTTTTTTTTTTTTTTTTTGGTGTTTTTGAGACAGGGTCTCCCTGTAGCCCCAGCTGGCCTAGAACTCACTATGTAAACCAAACTGGCCTTGAACTCACAGAGATCCACCTACCTCTGCCTCACAAGTGCTAGGATTAAATGTGTGCGCCACCACACCCCACATAGTGATTTTAAGCAGAGTGTACAAAAGAAAACGGGATAATTTCTGTATATGAATATTTATCCTTGCCTCATATGAGCCTGTGTTTTCCGAGTGGCAGCTGGGATTGGGTGCAGTGATTTGCCCTTGGGAGGTACTGAGGAAATTGCTGTTTCACCAGTTCTTTCTCGCAGTTTTCTACTCTTGCATTAATGTTAACATGTTTACATCCAACATTAAAAATAGAATGTCACATTTATACCTTCTTGTTTTTTCTCCTTACCAGAATCTGTAGTCCTTCAGACATCTTAGGGAAAAGTCTTGCCGACCTACAGAAACAATTCGGTGAAATTCTTGCACGTTCCCAGTGGGAAAGAGACGAAGCACAAGTTAGAGAAAGGAAACTCCATGAAGAAATGGCTCTCCAGCAAGAGAAACTGGCGAACGGACAAGAGGAGTTCAGGGAGGCGTGTGAACGAGCCCTTGAAGCCAGAGTAAGAAGAGGGCTAGAGGCAGCGGGAGGGGCCGCCTTTGGCAAACCTTGATGTTTTTCAGCAAATTATAATGTTTCCTTTCTAGAGTAAATTCAGCAATACTTTTTATTTTCACTCACAAGAAGTCAAGATGGTGTGACTAAACCAATCCTGCCTGAATATGGTTCTTGATGTCAAAGTCATACCCATCTATAACTTTGGAAAGCAAGTTGTAGATGTTTTATAACAGGCAGATAAATAATACCACATTGCTAAAGTATAGTGTAGTGCCAGAGCTGATTGTTTTCTAGTCTACTGATGTTAATATTAAGGCAGACAATCAAAGATTAAAAACACCTCTGGTGTCTGTTTAGCACAGAACCTTATGCTTGATAATAAAGAACATAACTCTGTAACAAGTTCTTATTTTGCTTAAAACATGTTGCTTTTAAAAAATCTCCATGCCACGCATAAGCCTATAATCCCAGCACTTGTGAGATGGAGGTGGGCAAGTCAGAGGTCACAAGTTCTTGATCACCCTTCTATATAGCAAGTCTGAAGCCAGCCTAGGCTATATAGCAAGGGCCTGTCAAAAAAAAGGGGGGGACAGGGGGTGGAAATCACTCCCGAAGCTTGCTTTCCTCGCAGATTAATTTTGATAAAAGGCAGCACGATGCAAGAATACAGCAACTGGAGAATGAAATTCACTATTTGCAAGAAAATCTAAAAAGTATGGAAGAAATACAAGGCCTTACAGACCTCCAACTTCAGGAAGCAGATGAAGAGAAGGAAAGAATTCTGGCTCAACTCCAGGAGTTAGAGAAAAAGGTGGGAAGGCTAGAAAAGTACCCGCTTCCCCAGGCCCTGCCTGCTGATAGTCAGCTGAGAGGGGTGAGACTCCCCATTCTCTTCTGTGTGCATGCTAGCGCAGTGCTGAGACCTCACACCTGATGCTTGTTACTGAATCAAGGACCTGAGACTCTCATGATAGATGGAAACAAGAGAGTTGGGTATGTGAGCAGTAACTTTAGAGTCATTTAGCTGATACTTCACAAACGATATTGGGTGAGTTTGCCACCTTGGAAATCCTATGAGAAATTACTTTTAACTTCACCTGGCCTCTCTGATGTCCTGTCTCCATCTATCCTCAACCTGTGTCATATCCTGAACCTTATCAAATTCAGAAATTTCACTTGCCACTTCAGAGACCACAGACTAAAGAGTCACCCTCTGGTCATAACCTCTCATTTTACTAGCCTCCTGCCAAAGCTCAGCAGCACAATTGAGCTTGTCTGTTGAGCCCTTTCTGTCTCTACTTTCCATTTCATCCAGCTTAAATTCTATGGCCTACTACTAATTTTTTTCCCAAGTTTTGTTAAGTTCCTTGTCCTTTTCTCCTGTCTCACTTCTCTGGCTAAAACTGAAGTCACCTGTTTTCTTTGGTGCTGCACCCGTGCTAGGTGTTCCTGGGGTCGCCATTGTATCACTGCAATCCCACAGTCCAGTCTCACACAGCCATTGCTCTTTACCCTTTCCACCAGTAAGCTCACCGTCCACCTCCTGTTTCAGACTTTCTTCCTCCTCATATCTGCCATCTCCTCTCTTCATAGGAACCCATTGGTTTCCAAGTCTTGCTGTGTCCACCTCCAAAGTATATCTGCAATGCATGCATGACCTCTTCCTCTGATGCCACCACCCTTGTCTAGCCATCATTGCTGCTGTGGCTGCCTCACTGATTCCCAATTCTACATGATCCTGCTCCACAAAACAACCAACCTACACTTTGTAAAATGGGAGTTAGTTGTGGTCAGTCCCATCCTCCCTTTCATAACCTCCATTGTTAAACACCAAAGTCCTTCCACCCGTGGAACCTGCATGATTTCCCCAGTTCAGTCTCCTCACTGCGCTGCTGCTTTCAGTTCCTCAAAAATGCTGAGGTCTGTCCTCACCACACCCAGGGCCTGACTCAGTGATGGTGAAGGCTTGTCTGTCCATGTTGATAGTGCTGGTAAATCGTTTTAATTGAATACATGAATTTAGGATCACTGAGATTCTTAACTAAGAAAACGTTCTTTAAAAAGTCTTATGTAGCCAGGCATGGTGGCACATGCCTTTAATCCCAGCACTCAGAGGCAGAAGCAGGTGGATCTCGGTGAGATCAAGGCCAGCCTGATCTATATAGTAAATTCCAGGTCAGCTGGGGCTGTAGGGAGACCCTGTCTCAAAAGGACCAAAAAACACGTTACATGTGTTGGGGGCTGCTGGAGAAATGACTCAGTGGTTGGGAGCCCTGGTGTACAGATAGGCCTGGAGTTCAGAATCCAACCATCCACATAACAAGCTGGGCAGACGCCCCTGCCTTTTGCCGCAGTTGTGAGGGAGGCCAAGACAGGAGGATTACTAGGGTTTGCTGACTTTCAGCCCAGCTGAGAAAACACAAGCCCCAAGTTTAAAGGAAGAACTAGGTGGCAAGTGATAGAAGAGGACACGTAATGTTCTCTCCTGGCCTCCGTACATGCATGCACGCGTGCACGCACACACACACACACACACACACACACACACATGCACACAGTTTAAGTTTATCTTAAGGGATCTTTATGGAGCACCTAGAATGTATCAGGTATTATTCTAGATTGCTTACGCACTGAACAGAGTCCCTGCTCTGTTAAAATTCATATCTTAATTCACTGCTGTTTAAGTAATGATTTTTTTTTCAATTTTAGAAGAAACATGAAGATGCCAAGTCTCAGGAGCAGGTTCTTGGTTTAGATAAAGAACTGAAGAATCTGAAGAAAGCTGTGGCTGCTTCTGATAAACTAGCTGCAGCTGAGCTCACCATTGCTAAAGACCAGCTCAAGTCCTTGCATGGAACTGTTAGGAAGATCAACCAAGAGCGAGCAGAGGTTAGTCCCTGTGGTCAGAGCACATTTCCACCAGTACTGCTGTCAAAAACATAATACCTAGGCTGGGCAGAGGCAGGTGGATCTCTGAGATTGAGGCCAGCCTGGTCTAATAGCAAGTTCCAGGTTAGAGGGAGGACCCTGTCTTAAAAGACAAAAACAGTAGTGATTTATATTACTGGTCTCTTGATGTAGACTTTGGTTATCTTATAAGCTATTGTGAAGTTGTCTGTTTTTCTTAGACCTGAAGGATTGTATCTCTTCCATTACAACCCCAAGAATATATTTTGGAATGCCATGGCCATGACACTCAGTAGAGTCCTGAAAAGAACCATCAAATGTAACTATCCCTACCTCAAGGGACAGCAGTCTCCTTTGAGAGATCCTTGTCAGTATGTACCTGGACTGAAATTTTGAAGGCTTGCCATATGGTCCCTCTGAGCCGCAAAATTTTCATCATGTGTATTTATATGAAATTACATTACTTTATAAGGACTGATAGAACTGACTGGAGTAAGGGTTATAGTGCTCTATAGGATGCAGATTGTAGTGAGATTAAGATAGTAGAACACAGAAAAACGACTCAAATGAGATCCCCCGAGGGACTGTCAAGAAATTCTCCAGGACGATGAAGAAAAGCCCTTAGTCCTCATGCAATACCCTCCACTTGGTCCCCTATTGGGTAGGTCAGGCTGCCCAGCAATGAGAACACAGTAAGAAAAGGGAGGCTTGGCACTCCACGTGCATGAATCAGCCAGGTTGGTGATGTGATGGAAGCAGTGGACTCACACTGAGGAAGGAAGAGTGAAGATGACCACCTGTGATGGCACTGCCCTTATGCTCTCCTCTAGGAGTGGCAGGAGGCAGAGAAGTTCAGCAGGAAGGCCATGCAAGCGGCCAGCGACCTGACCCGAGCTGAAGCAGAGATCGAGCTCCTGCAGAATCTTCTCAAGGAGAGAGAGGAGCAGGTCAGTGCTGGTACCTGAGCTTCTACTTTACGGGGTCCTTCCCCATTCATAAAGGACTAAAGTACTGTGTGTGAGCGCTCAGTAGTCTGAAGCGCTGCTAATGGTCAGTCTGTGTCCGCTCCTGTGTGCCAGATCAGTGCAGTGAAAGTGAAGATCTCACTGCTAGAAAGTGAATACAAAATAGGATGTTATAGTTGCAAGGGTAAACACACCTGGGAAATAATTTACTCATTGACTGCTTTGTGTGTGATTTTTTTTTTTTTAATAGTTTCGAATTGAGGTGGACCAAGCAGATGTAGGTACTGAAGGAGCAAATTCCCAGGTGCTAGAAATTGAGAAATTGAGCAAGACAATGGAGAAGCAAAGGGCTGAGATCACAAGGCTTCGGAATTTACTAGACCTCTCTGGGACGGGTAACGTATTACTGGGCTTTGATTTGGGGTACTTATATAGCTGTAAAATTGAATTGCCTTCTTTTCTGCCGTTGGAAAAAGTGCTTAACTGTTGGGAATCCATTCTGTGTCTGACCCAGAGAGCTCTGATAATTACAGAATAAGTTAAAGAATTTAAGAAGCATTTTTAAAGTATGGTATTAAAGGGCTTGGTTACAGAAAGACAAGGTGTAGATTATAATTTTAAAAGAAATAAAATTAACAGATATGTTTACTTTCTCTGAATTACTTTATAATTGATGGGCAGAAGGATGTTCTCAGTGTTAGCAAAAAGCAGTTGCCCAAGGGCAAGCTGAGAGAAAACGATTGTGTTCATTGGCTCTCATGGAATCTCTTCCGTATGTTAGGAGAGAAAAGTCCATGCCTTCTTCCTCTTCTTTACAGGTAATAAAAGAGGCTTTGAAAGTGTTTTAGAAGAAATTGCTGAACTCCGGCGTGAAGTTTCTTTTCAGAATGATTACATCAGCAACATGGCAGATCCTTTCAAAAGACAAGGCTTTTGGTATTTTATGCCACCACCACCATCATTATCAAAAGTAGGAATTCTATGTTGCTAGATGTGTATACTGAATTTTCTAAAGGAGAGTGTGACATTTTCCCCATCCCCAAATTTGTTAACAGGTACTAAGAACACTTCTGTGCCAAGACATGCATTAAAGGCTCTTGAGTGTCTCTGTTATTGGAGATTACAAAATAGGGCCATCCCACAGGAAACAGTACTTGTCTTTTCATGGCCAGTTTGCAGTTAAGAAAAGGATAGGATGACCTGAGCCCAAAGAGCTGATTGAAAATAGTTAGAAAATTGTGAGGAGTGTGGACAGAAAAATAGGTACCTGGATATTATTTTCTTTAAAAAAAAAAAAAAATCTTCTGAGTACTTACCAGGGTCTCTTACTAAGTTCTAGGCCAAGTGATAGGCTGTATTGAGGCCCTGTGATAAAGGATGTAACTCCTGCTCTCATAAGAGCCCATGGGCCATGCCAGGGTGATTACAGAACCGTGACATCCATATGACAGCCGACTTGGCCTTTGTGCTCTAGATGTAGATAGGTAAGTGTCAAGGAGTCTTGTTGTGAGGAACTTGAGGAAGGCTTCAAGGTTGTGATGGATGAGGTTGTGAGGTGAGTACCTAGCAAGCAGCCAGGGAGGGATTCTAAGGGAATAGCTTGTGTAGAAGAGAGGAGTTGGGTTAATCATGGCAAGGAACCTTGTAGGGCTAGAGGGTTTATAGGTGAGCTAGAAAGGTAGGTTGGGACCACCCTGCTCTAAAAGGGCCACTAAATCTGTTATTTAGATCATAAGAAAGTGCGGTTGTAGTTAATATAAGCAGAGTTCAGAAGAATATTATGACTGAGTGTGCAGACTACCCTTACAACAAAGTGAGATTTTGTGGGGCTGTTTGAAATCATTCAAACGAAGGATAGACAAGGCCAAAGCTAGATCAGTGGAACTGGAAAAGAAGAGATGACGTTAAGGAATGAGAGGAGACAGGGCTTGTTCTCTGAACTTAAAATGAGGAGTAGACTACAGGCCGGACTCATCCAAAGCAGAGGAACTAAATGGCATCCTGCTAGAAACAGCTGTGGAACAATAGTCAGGGAGAAGCAGCCCAGGCACCATGATCCCATGGCTCTGACGGTAATGTTAACCAGAATCAGAAGAGCAAAATCATCCTCCCAGAAACTCAGAGGAAACCAGCATCCTGGGCACAACCAAGGCTGGAGGAGGTGAAAGTGCTGTGTTAGAGGAAAGCATTGTAAGCCTGAGCTAGAGATGGGTTTAGAGGCTAGACTTGCTGACCGAGAAGCAGGGGAATAGAAGAGCCATGCTTTATAGCTTTGCCAGGCTCCCAGGACAGCAGAAGACTCATCTCCAGATTCCTTCAAAGTTTATCAGTTTCTTTTGCCTTTGTTGCTGGACAAGACCAAGGAAAAGAAACCTCCACGAGAGACAAGTACAGGGACAGTGAAGACCAGATAGTCAAGGATCTGGTCTCTTATGGAGAACTTGTCTTTATTTCTCTCTCATGAGAATTGTGGTATATAATAAACCTAGTCAGACAGCCAGATAGCATGCTTTTACTATTACAGTGCTGTCAAAGATTTGTTATTCCTAGAAAACTACCAACAACAGGAAATGCAGATAGGAAATGGATGTTATTAAGTAGTTTCTGAGCATATATTAGATTGCTTTGCTTGCTTTCCCCACACTTTGAGCTGTTTACTTTGACAAAGTAGTCTGACATAACTCCAGCCATGGCGTGCATAGTCCTCTCTGCCCAGTCTTTCTGACACTGCCATGTGGATCAACTCTAGAGGGATATTAATAAACTGAATGCTGTATATGGAACTGCAGTTTATACAACTTTGTAATGACCTCACATCTATGAAAAATAAGAATCACGATAACAAAAAAAAAATGCTTTCTCAGTTTTCTTACATCCCAACTTGACTGTATACTTTGATTTCTCAAAATCAGCTTTTCCATTTATAATAGACCTTGTGCTCTTCTTATTTTAGGTTTCTAGCCATAGTTCCCAGGCCACCAAGGACTCTGGTGTGGGTCTGAAGTACACAGCTTCAACTCCTCTTAGAAAACCACAGCCTGGACAGCAAGAGGGGAAGGACAGAAGTAGGCCTCTACCAGCCTCAGGTTACTGGGTCTATTCACCAATCAGGAATGAGCTGTATAAATCATTTTCAAATAGAGGCAAGTTATATCACATAAAAGAAATTGCACTTCTCTTTCCTGTTTAATAACCTTGTATTCCCTGAAATCCATAGATACAGTCCAAAATCCTTAGCTTGCTCTGTAGCATTCTGTGATCCTGCCTCGGCCAGTGATCTCTCCTCCCATAGTCCATCTATACTCGCACCATGCCAAGTTCCTCAGGCCACTCTGGCTCTGTTTATTTTTGTTGGTTGATTTTATTTTGGTTTCTTTTTTTTCAGTGCTGGGGATTGAACCCAGGGTCTCCCATGTGCTAGATAAGAGATTCACCATTAAGCATCCCCATTCCTAAACCTTCATGTTTTAAACCATTTGTCTGGAATGTCTGTCTGCCTCCTTCCTCTCTCACACCAGTTCCTACTCATCCTTCACTAAGATTCTATACTCCCCTGTGTGGAGCCTTCCTCCAGGCCAACCAAGCAGCTTATACTCCTTCTGGATGATGGTGCCTTGTATCTTTTTCTCATGGTATTAACCTAGCTCTAGTAAAATAAAGTGTTCCAGGTCAGTCTTCCAAAGTTCTCATGGGAAAGAGATCTGGATAAGCCCTAGCTCTTTTACTTAATAGCTATATGGTCATAGTCAAATGATTTAGCTCCTCTGAGATGTTCATCTATGAAGTGCGACTACTACCTTTGATTTGTTAATTTAGGAAGTATTTGTCAGGGTAGGGATGTAGCTCAATGGTAGTTCTTTTACCTTGTGTGTGCAAGGCCCTGGATTCGGTCTCTAGCACCACAAAAACAAACCAAAAACCAGTTATTGAGTGAATACCTGCTCTGTGCTGGGTTCTTTGATGTTAGTAATAAGCAAGCACAGCTTCTGCTTTTAGGGGAGATAAGCCGGAAGCCATCATATTGGCAAGTGCTACTTGTGCCTTTGATAAATTGAGTGCTGTCCAATCTCACAGTGCATCGCTATGATAGTTTATGTAGTGTGAAGCAGATATCCAAATGATTGCTGAATATATTAATAAGGCAGTTAACTAATTAATGGGCGAAGAAACATGAAGTGTTGACTGCTCAGAATACTTCAAATTTAGGTATTGATCCACTCCTCATAGCTGTGGTTGACTTTTGTTTGTTTGTTTGTTTTTAAGAGTTTGATTTATATCTCCAGTGCCTTGATTGAAATGTTGCTGTTTTTTCCTAAACCTGCTTACCTAGTAACATACTCTTCGGTTTATTTCTTTGAAGATGCCGGCAGTGAAGGAGATAGTCAGGAAGAAAGTGGACTGGATGACCAAGATGAACCTCCATTTGTGCCTCCTCCTGGGTACATGATGTACACTGTGCTTCCTGATGGTTCTCCTGTACCCCAGGGAATGGCTCTCTATGCACCACCACCTCCTTTGCCCAACAGCAGCCGACCTGTCACTCCTGGCACTGTGGTTTATGGCCCACCTCCTGCTGGGGCCCCCATTGTATGTGGACCTCTTCCCCTCAACGTCGCTGTCCCTCTCATCCCTGAGGGCATGCAGCATTGCAGTGTCCCAGAGCATCATAACTTAGTAAGTAGAGAAATATCCAACTCTATCCACACTGCTTCCATGATTGCTTGAGAATTGACTCCTTATGCATGGGGTTATACCTTAGTAGTAAGATTATAAGACTGATGTTTAAAGCTGAACATTCTCCTGCTAAAATATTGCTTTGAACAGGATGTAAAGTTCCCAAGCCCATCCAAAGCCTGGTTTAGCCATTTTCTAAGAGAAATGCTTTCCTTCTAGAATTTAACTATTTTTTCATATAATTTTCTATTGATGTGTTATATTAATGTTTATGTGTAGTTATGATCTCATACTATACCTGTAACTTATACATGTGTGTGTTCACATGCATGGGTACATATATATGCAGATATGTATAGACAGCATACTGTGGGTTTTGTGGGAATTATCTCTAGATTTTATTATCCATTTATTTTCAGTTATTTTTATATGCACATTTGAATTCTGTTTTCACATTTAGTGAAATAATTCCCCATACTTTACAAATGTTTTTAAGCAGCATTCTAATAGCTGTATAACATTTATTTGTAGATACTATACGTGATTATACAGATGGAGTCTACCTGTACTTTATATTTTTTTCTTGGACTGGATACCTAGAAATAATTACTTCCTAATCCAGATTGCTCTCTGACTTTCTGATTCTAATGTGATAAAGCTGCATTTCAAGCTCTTTCAAACTCAGAGCACTTGGGAGCCTTTGTTTTCTTCTCCCCCTTAGTGAGCTGAGGGAAGATAAGGGACTAGGATACCTGGTACTAAGTCATAGTTGCACTTTAATGGAGCAGACTAGTTCCTGAGGGCCTCTGTGCATTCCTGTTACCAGTACTGATCACTCACACTCTCTGTGACTTTGCAGTCTTAATTTGTAGCAGTTCTGTCTGTTCAGCATTTATTGATAATCTCAAATTGGTTTTTTTACTCTCCAAAAGTGCACAGCTACTCATGGAGCTTCCCAAGTGTGCTTTCAGACCTCCCTGCATTTGCACTTTAGATTTATTGAGCCTGAGTCTTTATCATTTATTCTTCAAGGTGCAGGCAGAATACTTCTACCTCTAGGCATGTATTTCTTTCCATGTCTTTCCTTTGTTTTAATGAGTATTTTGCCCACATGTAGTTGGACTTGTGTGCAGTGCCTACAGAGACCAGAAGAAGGTGTCATCCCCCAGTTGTTAGCCACCATGTGGGTCCTGGGACCAAACCCCGGTCCTCTGCAAGAGCATCCAGTACTCTTAATCACTGAGCCATCTCTCCAGCCCCCTGGGCACCTATTTCAACAATGTTCCTCCAATGTGCCCAGGGTAGTGAGAGACCTCAGCTTATCTCTTCTGCTAGATGCTAAACTCTGGAGACAGAGAGGTTTAGTGAACTTCTCACACATAGCCACCCTGATGGAAAAGCCAGATGTGCTAGTAGTCTGTCAGTTTCATCTGTACCTGCAAAAGTTGGTTGGCTTAATTTTTCTTTTCATGCTGAAGTCTTAGAATCCCACCATTTCTCAGGTCATAGATAACCACTTTAACCAACTGATCTCAACTTTCGGCAGCAAAAAAGGAACGATACCCTCAGATGTTTCTGTAGCACATTTGCTTTCTCTATTCAGGAGAATGAAGTTTCTAGATTGGAAGACAAAATTAAGCACTTGAAGTCCAAACGACAAGAAGAACAATGGCTAAGAGCATCCAAGCAGCAGTTGGAGAAAGAGGTGGAAGAGCTGCAGCATAATATTGATGACCTTCTGCAAGAAAAGAAAGAATTAGAACATGAAGTAGAAGAATTGCACAGAACTATCCAGAAACATCAACAACGAAAGTAAGTATTAACCACTATATATTATTCAAATGGGTATGCTGTCAGTTCTGAAAGAATAACTAAGTCAATACTACTTAATAAAACATTTTGTGATTTTAGAAATGTTCTAGATCTGAACTATCAAAGAGTAACCATTAGCTGCATGTATGTGGAGCTCTTTAAATGTGGCAGTAGGAGCTGTGAGCTGTGAGACAGTTTAATTGATTTAGTACCCACATGGTAAGTGCCATTTAGGACAGTGCCAATCTAAGGTCTCCTCTTGTAGTAGTCTAGTCAGCTCTTTTTGTAGTCCTCATTGGAGAATAACACAATTCCCCTTCCCAGCTACCCTAGCAAAAAATATGGCCAGGTTTTCAAATCTTTGCTCCCCTAGACATCCTTTGGGTTTTCTAGTCCTGTTGACTGTGCATCCAGAGAGCTCTCCAGCTGATCCCTTTCTGTTATTTCCACTTCTCTGGCTTTTACTTAGTTGAATTCTAGACCACTGTAGTAGCTTTAGTACTGCTCTCCATGTCTTGTCTCTTTCTCTCCAGTCTGTGAGGGAAACACTATGACTGTCCACCCCATCACAGTGTACACTACACTCTGCAGTCTGAACCTGACTGTCTTTGTTATCTTTCTACCTCACACAGTGCTTTGTTTGGACCACTTCTTGTGATCTCCCGAAGCGTACTTTCCCCTGCCTTCACACATTTCCGTGTTCAGTTCTCTTCCTGAAATGCCTTACCTACCCCTGTCTAACTCTGTCTTTTAGAATAAAATTCAGGAATCCCTCTTACACCAAGCCTTTTTCTCACATGCTCACAATTTAGAGTTAGCAACCTTTGGAATTGCTCTGATCATACAAAGCTGTGAGCAGCTGGAGAGTTCGTTGGGAGTCACAGCTAGACCTATGCCTGTGAGTCCCAGCACCTGGGTAGCGGCAGTTAATGCAAGTAGAATCTGTTGACTTGCCAGTTATGTAAAAATGCCATCTTCTGTGGGAGTCCATGAATTATGGCAGTTCCCCAGTTTTTGTCATTAGAGCCAGACTAGCCTAGACCCCAGGGTGGGAGGCCTGTCTATGTTTAAAATCTCCTAATGCTTATATGTATAAAATTCTAGGGACTTCATTGATGGAAATATTGAGAGTCTTATGACTGAACTAGAAATAGAAAAATCTCTCAAACACCATGAAGATATTGTAGATGAAATTGAGTGCATAGAGAAGACCCTTCTAAAACGTCGCTCAGAGCTCAGGGAAGCTGACCGACTTCTGGCCGAGGCTGAGAGTGAGCTCTTATGCACTAGAGAGAAGGTGTGTCCTGGTGTGGTTGGGGCTTGTGCTCGTCGTGGCCCAAGCAGCTAGCCTGGTGTCTCTAAAGGACTGCAGTGAGAGCAAGGGCTAAACACAGTTGTCCACATGAAGAAACCAGGTTCCAGGCTGATCCTGCAAGTTAAGAAACTGGACATTGGGACAAGTCTCTTACATCCTTAGGCCTTGCATACCTCACCTGTAAAGTCAAACTAAGACTATATAGGCTGTTCAGTAGGCATTAAAAAGAAAGTTACATTTCTAAAGTTATTTACTTCTCATTGTGTCCCACTTCCAATCTTTGTGTCTTGCAGGGCGGGGGGGTGACACTCGCCAATCCTTTTTTTTAATGGTCATTCATAGTCTTACAGAAGTCTTACTTTTTCAAGTTGATAAGAGAAGTAATGATGTAAAATATTTTTTAATCCCAGGCAGTAGATGTCTATTAATTTAAGTAGATCCAAGTTAAAATCATTTAAAAAATAGTTTGTGAGATATTCCTTGTAAGTAATGGACTTACCCATATGGAATATTAATAATAGAATTCTTTAGCCACAATGCAGAAGAATGTCCAGGAGGAAAAGCATCTTCCTTTTACTAACCCTTGCTGTGACCACACATTGGTCATTTTAAAATACCACTTGGTTTAACCTCCCTGGCATCCCTGTGAAGTGGTGTTAACTCAGCTTCCAGATGCAGCTCCGAATAACTCACAGTTAGCCCAGAGTCAGACAGCTGAAGTTCTGCCTTGCCAAAAGTTTTTTAGTAAAATAAGTCCAGAGTGAAAAAAGCCACAGGTAGCACCTCAGGAAGTACTACTTTTATATTGTTATGTCAACTTGAGTCCATTTAAATTAATAGAAATCTGTTGCTTAGGAACCAAAATGGTTTCACTTATAAAGAAATTCTGTGAGTTGGCACTTTAGGAATGGAAAAAGCCCTCTTTTTTGCATAAGCTGTCCTTCTGCTGTTACACATCAGGTTACTGTGCAAAAAAGTAGGTGTTAGGGGCTGGAGAGATGGCTCGGGGGTTAAGAACACTGACTGCTCTTGCAGAGGACCCTGGTTCGATTCCCAGCACCCACATGGCAGCTACGAACTATCCTTAACTCCAGTTCCGGGGGAATCCAAAGCCCTCTTCTGACCTCCAAGGCTTTGCACGACACAGGTGCATTCACATACATGCAGGCAATGCACTCATACACATAAAATAAAAATAATAAATATTTAAAATAATTTTGTTTATAAAAGAAAGTTTAACGGCGTGGAATTTTCTACTTGTCATAGTGTTATGCAGCAATTCATATTTTAGAGCATTTCAGATTCAGATGCTCAGGTGAGGGATGTTCAACCTGAAGGGGGGAGGGGGTGGGGAGAGGAAGAGGAGGAAGGGGGAGGAGGAGGGAGGGGAGAGGAGCAAAGGAGGAGGAGGGGGAGGGGGAGAAGGAGGAGGACAGAAGAAGTAGGTGCATTTTGGAAGGAATATGCCGGACATGTTAAAACTTGACACAGGAGACTAAAAGCTACTTCCTTCTGGAGAGCATAATGAGCTCTATCCATTGCTTTGCTAATGAACTCACAGAGACCAGTGATCTTCAATAGAAACATGGTAAACTGTCTAGCTCTGCCGGACCTTGCCAACTCTGACATCCACAGGGGACATTTAATATACAAATTTAACATACAGACGCTTCTGACTTTAGTACAACTGCAGAGCTCCTGTTTTTCAGGCTAAATGTGAGTCAGTGCTCAACCAAGTGCAAACCAAACTTATTTTTACAACCTTTTAAACCTCTTATTTTATACAGACAAATAAACCATGTTGATTTTTTTTAAGTAGTTTTTGCTATATCTAGTATAGGAATACTACTATATCTAGTATAGGAATTTTTAAATACCTAAGGAATTCAGTATTTGTGTTTCTTAAACCATAATTAAATCATCACAAAAGGATTTCATCTAACTTGATACTATGTAGGGTAAGCAAGAATCTGTGTGGATAGAACGTTGGTAAAATTACTGCCACTTAGTTGGCTAGGGGTTTTTTTGTTGGTTTTTTTTGTTTGTTTGTTTGTTTTCTGGTCTTTCTGAGACAGAGTCTCCCTGTAGCCCAGGTGTCCTAGAATTGGCTATGTAGACCTGGCTAGCCTTGAATTCACAGAGATCCACCTGCCTCTGCCTCCTGAGTGCTGGGATTAAAGCCGTGTCCTACCACTCCTGGCTAGTTGGCTAGTTTTAACTTAATCAAATGATAGTAGAATTACAGATCAGCTCCAGTCCCATCATCTTCAAATGACTATTTTTACATAGAGGTTCTGTCTCTGTTAACACAGGTGTAGTTTTATAGTTGCTTATACCATTTAAAATACTGTTCTTGGCCAATATACCATTTTGCGTGCTACCACAGTGTCATTTAGAGTAGAAAGTATTCTGTTGTTAATACACTATCACTTACTCTTGTCAGGTTTTATATTTCATTACATTTTTACATAGTAATTCTTCCGAATTAGATCCTGAGCTTGGAGAGTCAAAACAAATGGATATTTTCATCTTTCTGTTTTGTTTTCCAAGAATTGTACCAATTTATACTGCCAATAACTAGGGGTAAATATTGTAGCTGAATTGCTTTTAATGACAGTTTCTTTTCTAGACAAAGAATGTTGTTGAAAAGTTCACTGATGCCAAGAAAAATTTATTACAAACCGAGTCAGATGCTGAGGAGTTAGAAAAGAGAGCTCAGAAGACTGCTCTGAACCTTGTGAAAGCTGATCAGCAACTAAGGTAGGTAGACTCCCTAAAGGACTGAGATGCCCAGCAAGATGAGTGAGGTTTGTTTCTAAGAGGGTAATTTTTGGTTTATGATAAATGATGCATGCCAAGTCTAAAGGGTCAGGGGGCGATAAATGATGTATTGTAGATTGCTCCAGGCTGATGCAAAGGATTTGGAGCAGCACAAAATCGAACAAGAAAAAATCTTGAAAGAAATAAACAAAGTTGTAGCAGCAAAAGATGCAGATTTCCAGTGTCTGGACAAGAAAAAGGAAAAACTGACAGAAGAGTAAGTAAGGCCTCTGAAGGGCTGCAGGGGCTTGGGCTGGAACAGCTGTGGGGTTCAGGCTCCCCTAGGGTCTGATCAAGTACTGCCGCTGTTTTGTAGGCTTCAGAGTCTGCAGAGAGACATTGAGACAGCGAAGCACAATGAGGATCACCACCTGCGGGTCCTTAAAGAATCTGAGACTCTCCTTCAGGCCAAGAGAGAGGAGCTGGAAACCTTGAAAAGCCAGGTATGACAGTAGATGCCACAAAAGACTGTTTTAAAACTTACTTTTGCTTTATGATTACATAATGCTTATTTGGTTATAGAAAATATGGGAAAATGCAAAGTGCAATATAAAGACTCAAGGAGTCATTTTCCCTTTCCAGGTGTCAAGTCAGCAGCAGGAGATGGCTGTCCTGGATAAGCAGTTAGGACATAAAAAGGAAGAGCTGCTTCTGCTCCAGGAGAGCTTGGTCCAGGCAAAAGGGGACCTCCAGGAAGCACTGAGGCTGGGAGAGACAGAAGTAGCTGAGAAGTGCAGTCACATCAGGGTATGTTTATCAATCAGTAGGCCTTACGAGTGAGGCCTAGGCAGTGCTATAGACTTTCTCTGAAGAATTTCCTCCTAAAAGAAAATAGAAACGCCTCTTCCAGATGCCATTTTGGTCTCTGTCACTTTGTTCAATACTGCCGCTGAGGCTGCTATGTGGATTCTGGATACTCTGGATTCTCCTGCTTCAACTTTCTAATTCCACTTTTTGTCTAGCAAGGCCCCTTCTGTCAGCATCCAGATCCCGTTTGTGTCTTAGAGTTCAGCTGCAGGCTACCTCCTGATTTTTTTTATTTTTTCTGGAAGGAGTTTGAGTTTTATAGTAGCTACATATTTCCTGAGCACCCTAGTCTTCAGGATCATTTTTATGTTCCTGCCTTCTGATGAGGTGCTATGCTTCTGAGAGCAAAGCCATGCCTGAATCAGCCTTTTCTTCTCTACATCACATTGCTTTGCATATGGTAAATGTTGTAGATACATTTAAATGAAAGTGTTTCTTCTGTAATACCTGTAAATGTTAGTGTAAAGTACAGTGTGATGCTTGATATGAAAGGCAGACATAAGCCAAGTTAAATTCTACATTAGAATGTTTGAAATGAAGCAATAACAGAACTGATTTTAAAGGAATTGATTGACCATTTCACAAAGGGGATGACTTTTATTTAAAAACAGGAAGTAAAATCACTTCTGGAAGAACTGAGTTTTCAGAAAGGAGAATTGAATGTCCACATTAGTGAAAAAAAAAATCAACTTGCACTTATAAAGCAGGAAATTGAAAAAGAGGAAGAAAATCTTCAGGTAGTTTTGCGGCAGATGTCTACACATAAAACTGGTAAGTTTAAAGAGCAACAGTCATAAAGTTTCAGGTTGTAAATAATCTCTGTTGCAGGTCATAGAAAATGCAAATGACTAAACAAACATCATTTAAAGTTTAACCTTACTACTAATAGCAAAGAGAAGTAAATTTTAAAAGAATGTATGTCCTGCCTTTCAGTTTGCTAAGGTTTATTTAAAAGCAAAATAATCATATTTGTGGCTGTGCCAAGTATCCCGATGGAAGGAAAGGTTCTTAGACGCTGACTCAAATGTAACTGAGATGCTCTCCCAGGATTTCAAGACTCTAAAATTACAACTTGTAGAATATTTTGTACCCATTTTTACTTATCCAGAGAGAGCTACCTTTTATGTGGATCACAGCAAGATTTATAATTATAAAATTTGGAAAGAAAAGACCAATTTCAAAATTGTATTTTTTATATTTAATGACATGCAAACATACTCAAAGTAAAAAGAAAAAAATAGACAAATGATAAATGTGGGGTATAGCCCAATTTTCATTTTTCAATTCTGTGTGAACATAGTGTATTTATGCATGATGTATGCACACGTGTGCATGCTTCTGTCTCCACACAGCCCAGAGGAGGATGTTGGGTGTCCTACTCTGTCCTTCTCCACTTTATTCCCTTGAGACAGGGTCTCACTAAACCTGGAGCTAGACTAAAGGTCAGCAGATCCCAGCAACCTCCTGCCTCTGCACCTCCACCCCATGCACAGGGTTTATAGGTACCTGCATGGCCACACCTAGCTTTCTCTTACTTGTGTATGTGTGTACAGTGCACATATGTACACACTCCTGTAAGAAAACACTTCAAAATGCTATTGTAGTTGTCATCTTCTAAATTTTTTATTACATTTAGTGTGTGTGTGTGTGTGTGTGTGTATGTGTGTGTCTCCATGTCTGTGCACACACAGGAATGCACATGAGCTAGAGCGCACATGCAGAGGTCAAAGGACAGCTTGTGGGAGTCGGTTGTCTTCTATCTTGTGGGTCCCAGGGATTAAACTTGGGTCATCAGACTTGGCGAATGTTGAGTTGATGATGCATTATTTTCCAAATTTTCTGCAATGACCAGCTATTTCTATAATCAGAAGAAAAGTTGATGTTTAAGTATCTATTTCAAAGGGGAAAATATTGTTCTATAAATCTCATTCTATATTTTCTTTTTTTAATATTTATTTTTATTTTATGTGTATGAGAGTATTGCCTGCATGTAGGTAAGTGCACCTGTGTCGTGCAATGCCTGCAGAGGACAGAAAAGGCCGTCGGATCCCCTGGAACTGGAGTTATGGACAGCTGTTAGCTGCCATGTGGGTGCTGGGATTCGAACACGGGTCTTCTGCAAGAACAACCAGTGTTCTTAACCACTGAGCCATCTCTCCAGCCCCCTCATTCTATGTTTTCAAGTTTTTCCTACTTTGAGTCATTTGCATTCATATAAGTTGTGCTTAGCTCATCCTATGTAGATATAAAATTTTTTTTAGAGTCAGAGCTTTATGAAATGTTTTGTTTAAAATTTTTAACCAATAATGTTTAACAGTAAATTTAAAAAGATTTGTCCATTAAAAATAAAATTACTGTCACCAGGTGTGGTGGTGCAAGCTTTTAATCCCAGCACTCGGGAGGCAGAGGCAGGCAGATCTCTGTGAGTTCAAGGTTAGCTTGGTCTACATGGTACACTTACAAACATTCAAACAAAACACTCATATGTATAACAATAAATATATAAATAAACAAACAAACAAATAAATAAATAAATAAATAAATAAATAAATAAATAAATAGAAAATTACTACCATCAAGTCTTTTGATTTTTCGGGGGGGGGGCGGTTGTGTGTGTGTGAGAGAGAGAACAGGAGAGAGTCAATAAAGAATTACATGCTGTTTCTTTTATGTTTTGGGTTCATTTAATAGCACTGATTATGCTTTGTTTGTGTTTGCCAGAACTAAAGAATGTTGTGGACATACTACAACTTGAAAATAGTGAGCTACAAGGTTTGAAGCTACAACATGACCAAAAGGTGTCAGAGTTGGAGAAGACTCAGGTGGAAGTGCTGGAGGTACTGGGGAAAGCCACTGTGCCCTTTCAAATTACACTCTTTCTCTCCCTAAATCTTTGAATCTTCTCTTCTCTGGTTCAGGAGAAACTGGAGTTAGAGAATCTGCAGCAGACAGCTCAGCAGCAAAGAAGGGAAATCGAGTGGCAGAAGCAGCTCCTGGAAAGGGACAAGCGGGAAGCAGAGCGAGTGGCTGCTGAGGTTCAGGCACTGCAGTCGTGCATTGAGTGTCTGAGCAAAGAGAAGGAAGACCTCCAAGAACAGTGCGACAGTTGGGAAAAGAAGTTTTCACAAACCAAAAGGTAAGAGCAAGAATAAAAAGACTTTCAGGAACACTCTGGAAAATGAGAACAGAGAGTTGCATGTGATGGCGCTTGGCTAGAATCTCTGTACTCAGGAAGCATGTGCAGGTGAATCTCGAGTTCTAGACCAGTGTGGGCTACGTAGCAAGTTCCCAGCCAGCCAGGGCTACTTAGTGAGAATCTGTCCCATGATAGCAACAACAGAATTGTAACAGAAAAGCAAAAGAAAATATTGTACAAACTTCATAGCATAATTCTTTAATGGCATTTTGTGGTAACTTTCCTTCTAACTTTTTTCCCCTCCTTAAAAGCATTTTCTAAAAATAATCTCACCTGGGGGCTGGAGAGACAGCCTAGTAAAGTGCTTGCCTTGCCAGAACAAGGACTTGAATTTAGTCTCCAGAGCCCACGTAAGAAAAGCCAAACATGTCAGCCTCTGGCCTTCACATGCACCTGCACAGGTCAGCACACCATACACACATATGCACACAGATACCCAAATTAAATAAATAAAACTGACATTTAGTGCTGGCGAGATGGCTCAGTGGGTAAAAGCACTGCTGTGCAAGCCCGATGATGTGACATTGATCCCTGGAACTCACATAAAAAGGCTAGATGCCATGGCATGCATCTGTGATCCCAGCACTACTATGGGGAGATGGCAGGTAAAGACAGGAAAATCACCTGGAAGCTCACATGCCAGTTAGGGGAACACAGCAGGACAGAGACAAGGAGAGAGACCCTGCCTCAACAGCTGGAAAAAGAACCAACTCCCAAGATTTGTCCTCTGGCCCACATTCTCACACACATGCACAATAGTAAGTGAATAAAGGTTTTTTAAATTGGACATTAAAAGATCTTTTGAAAAGACAGACACTGTTAAAAGTAATGAAAAAAACATGACAAGGGTTAGAAGAAAAATCTTTACAACCATGTATCTGATACAGGATTTGAGTCCAGAAAATACTTACATGAAGAAGCTTCAAAGCTCATCAGAAAATAACCCAGTTTCTTAAATGGGCTAAAGATTTGAACGTGTTTTTTCCGTAGAAGATATATGATGGAAAAGCACATGGAAGGGTGCTCGGTATCATTAATCATTATGAAAATCCAAATTAAAACCACAGTGAAATGTCCATACGTATTAGAACAAGCATACCAAGTATTAACGAGGTACTTTCATACACGACTGATGGACATGTACAGTGCTGTGACGGTTGTAGAAAATAGTTCAATGGTTACTTTCAAATCAAGCACACCTATCAGGAAGATTGAGTCAACTTACTCATAGGTATTTTACTCAAAAGAATGAAAGTACATTTTGACACAGAATCTATGCAGATGTTACAGCAGCTTCAGTTGTAATTGCCCAAACATCTGCCTACAAGCTGGGAAACGAGTAAATTGCAGTGTGTCTGCACCATGGAATACTCTGCGGTAGAAAGGGAGTGACGCGTAGATAGGCACAGCGGCTGGGTGAGTCTTAGGTACCTGTGCTGAGTGCAAAACTCCAGACAAAACCACACCTACACTGTGTGCCCTTCTGTGCGCACCACTGTGTGCTTGTGCGGGTCTGCTGTTGGGAAACCCTTTGTACATACAGTTGTGTTCCTGCTTTTCTACTTACTGATGAGTTGGAAATCTATGTTTATCACTCAGATTTTGGGAATTTTGAATGTTACATGTTTTTATAAAACTTGGACTTAGTGAATCCCCTTTTTAAAAACTCCTATTTAGAAAACTGGCAAGATTTCACTTGAAAATCCGGAGTCTTAGTTTTGGATTTACACTCACTGAGACTCCTACACTCTCCTTAGTCATACGTTGTTTGTGCTTAATTTGACCATCTGATTTATTACGTGTGGTAGAGTTTTAGCAGCTACAGAAGAAAATAACAAAATGGAGCAATCAAACTTAGAGAAGTTGCAGGTGAATGTCAGGAAGCTACAGCAGGAGCTCGACCACCTGAACCAAGACAAGCTCTCACTACATAATGACCTGTCAGCAATGCAGCAGCAGCTACACGGTATGCATGCGGCAGAGCACGAAGGAGGTTCCCGGCACCCCTCCCCCTTACTTGTTTTTTCTTATAACACAAAAGTAATTCCTGCAAAATGGAACATGGGGTTTCTTTCTAAAATCAGATCGTCGGCATGGTTGTACCACTTGTGAACATTCTAAGCCTTCGAATTACGTACTTTAAGACATATATAATACAGGAATTTTTTAAATTTTTTTGTCTTTTTGAGACGGGCTCCCTGTAGCCCCAGCTGTCCTGGAACTCACTGTGTAGACCAGGCTGGCCTTGAACTCACAAAGATCCACATGCCTCTGCCTCCCAAGTGCTGGGATTAAAGGCGTGTTGCCACCACGCCCAGCAATACATGAATTTTTAAAAATATTTTATTTATTATTTTTATTTTATGTGTATATGTGTATTGCCTGCTTGTAGGTAAGTGCACCTGTGTACATGAATTATATCTCGAGATTTTTAAAAAATCTAATTCATGTTCCTTAGAAAGCATCTTAAAAACATAGCAAAAAAGATGGCAAGATGGTTCAGTGGGTAAAAGCACTTGCCATGCAAGCCCGACAACCTGAACATGATTCTTGGAACCCACAGTAGAAGGAGAGAGGTTAAGGGAGATTCCCAAATGTCTTCTGTCTTGCACACGTGTGCCACATGGGTGGGTACGTGCATGTGCGTGCACTTGCACACACACAGAGGCACATACTAATAATAAATACGTTTTTAAAAATTATCCTCAGAAATAAGTCCCATGAACTGTTCAATGAATATCTTTCCAGGTTTCTCCCAGGGGAGGAAAGTAATGTAGTTTAATGAAAATGATAAAGATGTCTTTTACTGGGGCTGGAGAGATGTTCTGTGGTTAAGAGCACTGGCTGCTCTTGCAGAGAAGCTGATTTCTGTTCCCAGCACCCACAGGGTGGGTAACAACAGTCTGTAACTCCAGCTCTATGAGATCCGATGCCCTCTTCTGACCTCTATGGGCATTGCACGACACGGGTATACTTACATACATATAGGCAGTGCACTCATATACAATAAATAAAAATAATAAAATAATTTTTTAAAAGATGTCTTTTATTGCCAAATATGTATGATTATTTAGGAGAGACTGCTAAGCACTTGAGGTCAATAATGTACTTGTTGAGCATTTGTGTCCTAGGCATGATGTGATGTCTCATTCATTCCATGTAACAAAACTGGGTCTGGTGGCACACATTTGTAATCTCAGCACCGAAGAGGCTGGGGCAGGAAGATCCTAAGTTCAAAGCCAGCTGGGCTTCATAGTGAGACCCTGTCTCAAAAAGTAAAGAAAATGGGGCTGGAGAGATGCCTCCTCGGTTAAGAGCACTGGCTGCTCTCATAGAGCTCCCGGGTTTGATTCCCAGCACCCACATGGCAGTCAACAACTGTCCGTAACTCCAATTCCAGGGGAATCTGACACCCTCTCCTGACCTCCACAGTTATTGCATGACATAGGGGTACACTTACACACATGCAGGCAATACAGTCATACACATAAAATAAAAATAATAAATTTTTAAAAAACAAAACCTATTATAACATTTTTTTAGGACCACAAGCACTATTTTACCCATTTACAGATGATAAAATTGAGGCTTATTTTTCTTGTGATTTGGTTAAGGTCACATAGCTAACAATAGATATATTTATCCACAGATTGTCTTCCTGAAAGATTATGCCAAGTTTAAATTTCCAGCAGCAATATAGAACATACCTGTTTTTAAGCCATGCATCTCACCAACATTATTATCTGTTTTATTATAAGTTTTTAAATATAGAAGTCTTTAAAAACCTGACCCCCAAAACACAATCCAGGTTGTATACATTACTACTTTTTGACCTTTACTAAAATAGTGTGGTATCATCATTCATTTAAAAGAAATGTTTAAATTTACTTCTGATGTTCTTTGAGGGGAGGGGATCTGATGGAATCTGGCATGTGCCCATACAAATAATACCTTGTGAAATGTTTCTGTAGAAAAACGAGAATCCATAAGCTCACTACAGGAGGAACTAGCCAATGTCCAGGACCATCTGAACCTAGGAAAGCAGGTAAGGTTAACACAGAGAACTGTCTACTTTTATCTTGAAAATAGACAATTGGTTGACTTAGAATTCAAGTTATATTGGCTGCTTTTCACATCATCAGGACATAACACGCAACCCTCAAATAAGGTTTTGGTCCTTAGCAGTTCTTTTCTAATTGTTTAACCCTAGAACTCTTGATCCAAGTTTTACTCAAAGCTAGGAAGTAGGATGGTGGCTAGACCAGAGCCCCAGAGCAGTTCCCAGCAGCCTCTATGGGGACTTTAGGGAGAGAAGGACCAGTAGCATGGGTGAGGCCTCCATACTGTGCTTAGATGTGGTTACTCATTGAACTTGAGGGTAGCTGCCAAGTCAGGGCATTCATCCAGTTATGCTGATGAGCACAGATTTGTGGCCTCGGACCTCACAGGATCTTCTTCTGGTGATTCAGTGTTGTCCTATGACATAGCGCTGGCGTTGGAGTTTTCAGAGGACTTCAGGCAAACTCTGGGTCTCAGTTTCTACTATGTAAAATAGATGTTTGAGTATCTAAAGTTTCTTATACCTTTAAGACTCTGTTTCTAAAACATAAAAGTTATTGTCTTTAAAACATCAGGTTCTTATGAGAATTTTCTGTGTTAAAAGTTTTTCAAATGTTCAGATACTAACTAAACCTGTTGTAGTATTACTAACTAAGCCTGTTGTAGTATTTCTTCATTTTCTCCACATTGTCTGTTCTGACCTCAGTAGTAAATCAGTTAAGGTTCAGAGGAACTGAGTCTTTTTCTGAGAGGATACTGGGAGGCGAGTACTTTTCTGCTTCTCATTTTGTCAGACTTAGATGCTAGATTTGGTGCTGGACACTTAGGAAACACAGGTTTGTGAGCAGTTTCGGTGTATTCTTTCACCTAAAGGACCTGCTTCACACCACCAAGCGCCAGAATGTACTGCTCAGTGAGCAAGCCCAGCTCCAGAAGGACATCAGCAAATGGATTGAGAGGTTTGAGAGCTGTCAGAAAGAAACAGAGACAAAAGAGCAGCAACTTGAAGAGCTTCAGAATGAGATCAAAGAAAGCAAGCTCAAGCTAGACAAGCAAGAAACGGTACTACATATTTTATGATTGGAGATAAAAGAAACCCTTCTGTTCTTTGTGTGAGCTAGCTCCCTGGGCCAGGAAGCTGCTGGAAGTATCACCCGGGAACTCGGTGCCTCACACCTCTCCATCCCAGCTCAGCTATGTGTCTTTAAACTGCATCATTTGCATCCACTATGTGACTCTTTGATTAGTATAAGTTATAGACTAGCATATAAGTCATGGGGCATTGGTCCCATTAAAGAAGCTTTTTGGCCACGTGCTGTTAGCTGCTTCCATCTTCTCTTCTGTTGGCCAGGTGGCTTCCCAGACCCTGCTTCTTCATCTCCTTTGCAAAGGTTCTTGCACACAGCCCCCCTCTCTCTCTCTCTCTCTCTCTCTCTCTCTCTCTCTCTATCTCTCTCTCTCTCTCTCTCTCTCTGCATGTAGGTGTTTGTCTCCTTTCTGTTGAACTGGAGTCTGCTAGAGGATCATCTGGGACACTGAGAATTTGTTTTTTATGACTGACTAAAGTTATTCTCTATTCAGATGTTTCAAAAGCTCCAGAAAGAGAGAGAAAGTGAGGAACAGAAGTTAGAAGCTGATAATGTGACACTGAAGGAGCAACAGAAGCAACTGGAAAAACAGTTGGCAGACCAGAAAAACAAACTGGACCAGGTACTTAAAGAAGTGTCAGTGGCCGAAGAACGTGTCAGGACCCTGCAGGAAGAGGAGAGGTGCAGTGAGACCCTGGAGAAGACACTCTCCCAGGCCAGTACGTCTACTCGACAGGGATCCAGGGTGGGGCAGGGCAGGGCGAGGAGTGGTGGCTATGCTGGCAGACAGGTAGAGTATGTGAAGACGATCCATAGCACAGCCAGAGCTGTGGAGCAGTCTGCCCATGAGGAAAGAAATCTGCCTGTTGCTGACCAAGGCCTCTAGCTCAACCCACTAAGCATGCTCACTCAAATTCCAGAACGGCAGCTTTCCGAACGCGAGCAGCAGTTAACAGAAAAGGCAAGTGAGCTGCTGGCCCTCCAGAAAGAGGCAGACGCTATGAGGGCAGACTTCAGCCTGCTGAGGAGCCAGTTCTTAGCAGAAAGAAAGAAGGCGGAGAAGCAGGTGGCTAGCCTGAAGGAAGCTCTTAAGACCCAGCGGAACCAGTTAGAGAAAAATCTTCTTGTAAGTATCCGCTGCCCTGGGAGAGCATGAGTTAATATAGCTTGTATTTAATTTTCATTTATATTTTACTACTGCAGTGCTTCTCTGTAGAGAAAATAAATTACCTAGCCTTTAACGCAACTGTATTATTGGTGTATTTAGTTGTAATTGGTTGTTGAACCATACATTGAGTTTTGCCCAAGACTTGGCCATATTAGCCCGAGCAGCCGGGCTGCTGGCTGGGACACCATGCTGTGGACAGTGTCGGCACAGTAGGGAGCTATGAGCTCTGCTACACTCTGCCGGGTCACAGGGAATTGGAGAAAGTTTGATAGGCATTTTACGTAGCTGCAGTCAGTTTACAAGTCAGCTGCTTGTTTTTTTCATCCTGCCCCGTTTGGTCAACGTTAGCTTTAATCGAACACCCTAAAAGCAGGAAGGAAGCCCAGTTTACTCTGAGCTGATCCTTGAAATGAGTTTGGGAGGGGATGATCACATCATTCAGAGCAGTGAGCACAGTGGACTCTCCCAGGAATGGATTTTGCTACTGCCTTCCAGAGGGATTAATGGAGCCCTGTTGTATGAAAGGAACTTGTTTCCCAGACGGTGATGCACTTACAACTAGGGATTAAACAGGATGGCTGTAAAGATAGAAGACAGATGTGTAATACCTTATTCCTCCTACAATTCGTTATTTCTCACACAATTAATGGAGGCTCAGAAAGGGTATTTGTCAAAGATAATGCTGCAGATCTGAGATTTGGACTTTGGGATTCCCCCAGATACAATATAGCTGCCTCCAAAAGTCAGGTAGACTTAGCTCCATTTCACAGCTAGAGAAACTGAGGTCCAGTTACAGAGCTAGAAGCGTGGAAACTAGCAACCATACTTCCACATATTTTCCCTCTGTGCTAGGAGCAAAAACAGGAGAACAGCTGCATGCAAAAGGAAATGGCCACAATTGAGCTGGTAGCCCAGGACAACCACGAGCGGGCCAGGCGCCTGATGAAGGAGCTCAGCCAGATGCAGCGCGAGTACTTGGAGCTTAAGAAACAGGTGTGCGTGCAAGAACTCCAGCCACGTGGCTGCACAGCCTGGGCTCAGTACTTGCTCATCCCAGCGCTGGACAGGTTTTGTTGTGGTTAATGTCTCTTAAGAGGAATGCTGCTTCGTGGCAGTTCTGAAAAGCTGATTGTATGAATGTTCTTTGAGGTAAATTTTTTGGTCTTAAAATTTAGAAATAGACCTCCCTAAGGAAAAAGTATTTGTTAAAAATAGGTTTTAAATTTTTTTTAAGTTCAACTAGCTTTTTTAAATTACCTGTGTGTAGTTTAAATATATTGTGTGAGAGAATGTTATGTGCTGTGGTAGCATATGTGGCATTCAGGAGATAACTTGGCCTCTTTCCACCATGTGTTTTACGGATCAAACTGTGATCCTCAGGCTTGACAGCAAGCACCTTTACTTGATGAGCCATCCTGCCAGCCCTCAGCTATTTTTTTTGAGACAGGGTCTCCCTGTAGCAACAGCTGGCCTGGAACTCCCTATGTAGACCAGGCTGGGCTTGAACTCAGAGATCTGCCTGCCTCTGCCTCCCGAGTACTGGGATTAAAGGTGTGCGCCACCACGCCCTGCCACTAGCTTTTTCTTAATGCATGTTGCATGCACAGGTTCCTGGGTATGCAGGTGCATATGTTTGTATGTGGAGGCCAGAGGAAACCTTGGGTGTCATCCTCAGGAATGCCATCCATTTTCTCCCTTTTAGACAGGGTCTCTCATTGTCCTGGAGCTCACCAATTAGACTAGACTGGCTGGCCAGAGAGTCCCAGAGACTCTCTCTTCTCCACTGCACCATTGCTAAGATTTTAAGTGTACCACCATGCCTAGAATTTTTATATAGGTTCTGGGGCTTGAACTCGGATCCTCATGCTTGCAAGGCAAGTGCTTTATTGACTAGCCCATTTCCCTTATCCCTCAGCTAGATTTTTATGTTAATTGTATGTGTGTACATACTTACATGCCCCTGCAAACACTGGTATGTGTACCAGTGTATATGTGAGCACATGCATGTGAAGGCCAGAGATCAAATTCAGGTGTCATTTTTCAAGAGCTGTCTGCCTTGCTTTTGGAGATGGTCTCTTATTGGGCTCACTAATGAGGATAAGCTGGCTGGCCTTTGAGCCCTATTTGTCCATCCACTCATCTCCACCTCCCCAGTCTGGGATTGCAAGCACATGCCACCAACCCAGCTTTTCATGTGAGTGCTGAGAATCAAAATTAGGTCCTCATGCTTGCATGGCAAGCATGTTACTAGCTGAGCCATCTCTCCAGCCCTTTTTACATTAGAGTATTATGTTGTGTGATGCATGTATGTCTGGTGCATACAAGTGAGTGGTGTATGTGGAAACCAGAGCAGGACACTGGGGATCTTTCTCTTATGCTCCCTACCTTATTGCCTTGAGACGAGGTCTCTGACTGAACCAGAAGCTAACCATTTCAGCTAGGCTGGCTGACTAGCAGGCTCTTGGGATCTGTCTCTGCCTCTAATGCTAAGGTTGGTTACAGGCAACACAGCCATGCCTGGCTTTTACATGGGTGCTAGGAATTCAAACTTAAGTCCTCATGCTTACAGAACAAGAGCTCTTAACCCCCTGAACTATCTCCCTAGCCTCTGTTTTTTGGGTTTTTGTTTTTTTTTTTTAACGAAAAAGCAATTCTTAAGCTGGGCGTGGTAGCACACGCCTGTAGTCCCAGCACTTGGGAGGCAGAGGCAGGCAGATCTCTGTGAGTTCAAGGCCAGCCTGGTCTACCGAGTGAGTTCCAGACCAGTCCCCGCTACAGGGAGACCTTGTCTCAAAAACACCAAAAAATTAAATAAAAATAAAAAAGCAATTCTGTAACATAAGAGTTTATCATGTCCCAAAAATCTATGTTGAATTAGATTTTTATTTCAGAAGCAAGTCTACAGAGGCCAAACCCCTGGCAAGCAAAAAGGGTTGAGGATAATCCTTTATGAGTAGGTGGAAAGCATAAGACCAGTGGCTGTCTGAACTGGTGTCTGTAGTTCTAGATGCTGCTGGCAACCCTTAGCCCATATGGTATCCGTGCTGTAGTGATGGCCGCCGTGTTGGCCTTGGTACACTTTGTTCTTTAGACAATCCCATGTGGCCACTGAGGTTTCATTGTGCTTCCCATTCCCACTGACTCAAGAAAAAATACTTTTTGAAAATGACTTGAAGACCACAGCCATTATGGGTTGTACATGCCTCTGGGGTACACTTGGCAGGGCAGTTAGCAACCGAATAGAAAGGAACCTATCTCACTGGGCTCCTAAGGAGAGCCAAATAGAAGAGTCTCAGTCATTAAATGTAGTCTATAACATGTGAGGTGAAATCTGGCCTGTCCAAACCCCTAGATTCACTTATGAAAGCATTTGACCAGAGCTCTTCCACATTCACATGAAAATCCAGGTCACTTACGACTCGTTTCTGTAAATGCTGTTAGATGCCTCTAAGGTAATTAAATTCTCCTTTAGTTCTCTAAGCAGGAGGTATTGTTTCCACTTATAAATGCAGTAACAGAAGATTAGCTAACTTACCCTGAGTCATATTGGTAATGTTTGCTGGAAAATGGAACCCAGCTTTGATTCCAAAGAGACTGACTACTGTAATCATCTTCAAGTAACACTGGGCATGTGTCTTCTAAATGGAAAGTGCTCTGATCAAAATGCCAATTAAAGTGCTCATTTTGTAGCTCGGAGGTATTTGAGTGCTTTTTAAAAAATCACATTTTGGGACTAGAGAGATAGCTCAGCAGTTAAGAGCACTGGCTGTTCTTGCAGAGAACCCGAATTTGATTCCCAGCACCCACATAAAGGTTAGCAACCGTCCTAACTCCAGTTCCAGGGGAATCCATTGCCCTTTTCTGATCTCCATGGTTATTGCATGACAGGGGTACACTTATACATGCAGGCAATACACACATGCACACACACACACACACACACACACACACACAGGGGTACACTTATACATGCAGGCAATACACACATGCACACACACACACACACACACACACACACACACACACCGTTTTCTAAAAATAAATAAATAAAAATCACATTTTTACAGTTTTAATGATCATGGTACAGGAGCTCCCTGACTTATAATGGGGTTACATCCCAATAAATCCACTGTAGCTGAAGACCCCATATCTAAAAATACATCATTTACCCAACCTGCCATGCATAACACGTCTAATACCACAGTGAGGGGATTGGTTGTTTACGAGTGGCTAAGTGGGAGCTGTATCTCATTGATGCTGCCCAGCCAGCCCAGAACAATACTGAAATCAAAAGTACACTAATACACAGTACGAATTGCTTTTGAATCATAGTCAAAAACCCCTAACTCCAGTCATAAGTCAGAGGTTGCTGGTGGCGGTTGGCATCTGTAGGTCTTTCTGTGTATGCACAGTTCATATTTATGTGTGCAGGTACATTTTTTTTAGAAGTCTGGAACTCACTGATTAGGCTGAGCTGGCCGGCCAGTGAGCCTCCCAGGGATCCACCTGTCTCTGCCTCCCTGTGCTGGAATTGCAAGCATGCACCACAATGTTGTTTTTTTGTGGGTTCTGGGGTCAGATTCAGGGCTTTAAATTTGAACTTCCAAGGCAAACTTTACCAATTAAGTCAGTCCCACAGTTGTAGACCTTTAAATACAAGACACAGTAAACAACCTGATTCTGAGTAATGGTGTTTGACCCTGGCACTGTTAGATGGCAAACCAAAAAGATCTGGAGAGAAGACAACTGGCAATCAGTGATGCAATGAGGACGCTCAAGTCTGAGGTTAAAGATGAAATCAGAACCAGCCTGAGGAATCTCAACCAGTGTCTTCCAGAACTACCAGCAGATCTCACAGCTATTCTGGAAAGAAATGAAAACCTAGGAGAGTTGGAAAGCTTGAAAGAAAACGTCCCATTCCCCATGAATGAGGGACTTTTTGAAGAAAAATCGAACTTTTCCCAAGTTCACATCATGGTGAGGTTTATCCTGAGCTTCACAGAATGATAGTTGGGCTCCCACCTCCTCCAGTAAAGCTAAAAACAGATTTAGGGGTGCCAGGGTAGGAGGAGGGAAAGGTCAGGTGGCCCCCGCTCATGATATGTGATGACTCATTGGTCTCTTTCTTCTGAAAAAGGATGAGCACTGGCGTGGAGAAGCACTCCGGGAGAGACTGCGACATCGTGAAGATCGACTCAAGGTTGCCTCTTAAAATTCAAGAAAAGTAAAATAGAATAAAAGCCAGTGTGAGATACTTGGCACTGGGGAAGAGTAGGGAAACATTTTCATGTCCACATGTTGCTCTGTTCATGCTGCTGCAGGGTCTGGAGCATGAGCTACAGATCAGTGACAGAAGTTCAGAGAAACTGACTCCAGATTTCAAATGCCTTAGTACTCACTCAATCCATGAATTCTAGGGCCAAGGATACAGCTCAGTGGTAGAGTCCTTACCCAGCTATTTTAAGGTCCTGGGTTCAATCCAGAATTCTGGTGTGAAGTCCAGTGACCTTTAACTTCTGTAATGTCTCCCTGTGTAGCCAAAGTGGACCTTCAACCTGGAGCAGTCCTGCCTCGGCCTCCCCAGTGTTGGGACCAAGGGGGCATACCACCATGCTTGGCTCTCATTCCTGCTTTATATAGATTTGCCTATCAGTTATTGTGAGGAAGCTAATAGTTTTTGGTACATTTCTTTGTGAAACCCTACATTTTCTAACGCTTTTCAGGCTCAACTTCGACACTGTATGTCCAAGCAAGCAGAAGTATTAATCAAAGGAAAGCGGCAGACTGAGGGCACCTTACATAGTCTGAGGCGGCAAGTTGATGCATTAGGGGAATTGGTCACCAGCACCTCTGTAGATTCACCATCGTCACCCAGTCTGTCTCATCTGGAATCTTCCCTTGTGGAGGATTCCCAATTTGGACAAAGTCAGGTAAGGAAGCTCCTGAAGAGTTTAGTGTTGCCTGGAAGGTGCTTGAGAAGTTTGGGGTACGTGAGCCAAGACTTGGGATCCAAGTGCTACCCTCAACTCTGGATAACTTGTCTTAGCAAAGATCTGGGTCTGCCATCTCTGGGAAAAGAGTTGACCTGGTTTATGGATGGGATAAGCTGGTAGCCCCTGCAATTAGCTAGAACTGGATGGAGGATGACAAGGAGAGACGTAGTTTTACTCAGGTCCTCCACTTCCAGATTTCCTTTTCAGCCTGTGAGTCTGAGTCCTAGTTTAATCTGTTTCCCTGTCTTGGCACAAGGTGACTGATGGTGCCTCGTTTCTCAACACTCCAATGCAAATCTCTTAACCCAGGGACTATAAAACTGGCTCTCACAAAGGTTTTCTATGGGGGGCTCAGAGAAGGTTTTAATATAGAAGGTTTTAATAATCACTTAGGAGGAACATGAAATAACACATGGAACTGGTTAAGTTATTCCTATCAGACAGAAAATAGCTTCCATTTTAGGTGCCTACTCTGGGTACATAACACTGTACATACAACATTCCATTTAATCTTTACATCCTGGAAGGTGCTAGTTATCCTTTTACTTGATTAAAGAGATGGCACAAAGTGAAAAATCGCAGTCAAGGATGAAGCAAAGGACAAGTGGTGGATGAAGGGACCAACCTCTGCCTTTATTGCAGTTTGTCATGATTATATTGTAAGGCACAAGGAATATTTAAGGACAGTTGCTTCTTTTGTAGGCCCAACAAAGGGAAAATGATTTACCTTGGTCACATTGCTAATTAGCAGCAGAGCTGAGATTTTAATATGATTATTACCTTAACACCTTTTGTAGTGGAGACACAGGTCAGGTGACAGCCCCAACCACCATAGCCTCCAGGCAGAGGTTGAAGAATGTGAGGAACTGAGCACTGAAAAATGGATGGGTTTTGGATGTACTCCAAAAGAAGGCGTAGACGGGTTGTAGGAACTATGTAAGTCTAGGGTAATAATCCAGGTTCTGTGAGATAAAGTCCTGAGTTGGCTTGAGGTTAGGGGCTGCTTCAATGCCTAAAATCTTATTTCCTCTTTTCAGAACTCCTTCCAAGTTCTGCAAGGTCCATCAGCATCACCAGACAGTTACCGACGCTGATGCCACTGACAGTTTCCTGCTCACGGGGTGCGTTAAAGGCCATTCAAGGCATTCTGTGGGAAGATCTGGAATTTTAGCAGCCTAGGAAAAACAACTTCAACTTTTTCCCTCTTAGAATTTCTTTCCTAGTAGTTTATCTTAAAACATTTGGGGGGATGTAGCTTAGTGGTTGAGCACTTAACCTAGCACATCTAAGACCCTACACTACAAAACAAATTCCAGAGATGCTCAAATATGTTGCTAGGCATTGTGCAGTCACTTAAATTCTGTTTAGGGCTGTTTTCAGTGTTGGAAGATTTAATTCATCCCTTCTCCATGTTTCTTACTGTAGAGAAAGATTGGTCAGCCAAGAAAAGAACAATCCTGCGTAAATGTACGAGGAAACAGCTACTCTACTACCTCATCAACTTCCTAACTGGAATGTCCCTGGTTATTACCAAGAGCCTGTGAATCGAGATGCTGAACTCCACTGTAGTTTAGTTTGTACCATTAACAGTGTTTTTGTAAATCACTTGTACACGTGGGACTAGGTGTATACAGTTTAAACCAGGATGTTATGGGGTGATTCTGTTATTCTAGTTACAATGAAAAAGAATGTACTTAAAGCCCCTCTTCATTTATATAATAGCTATTTTTGGATTCTGCTTTCTAAAAATCTATTTTTAATATGAAAATAAAACATACAGTAAACTTAGGTCTGTCATCCGATTTTACATTTTACAGGTCATTGTTGGGTAAAACCATCAACCTTAATTCCAAGAAAATGACAGTCTTTCAGATGGTTTCCCATCTTTCACTTGGTTGTACTTAGCAATGAATGTTTCATTACTCAGAAATACAAAACAATCACATATAGGATGCTTTTCCTTAACCAGAAATGGTGACCATTCTATTTTGGAGTTGAGAGCCAATAAGTTATATTCAGACTTTTCATCTGTTAAGAGCTCAACTCCATGATGGATACATTTCTTTAGAAACAAGAACTGTCACAGCTGTGTGGTGGTTATGTGCTATTCCCAAGAGCTATGTAGGTGACTCAATTCCTGGGCCACAATCTGCATTACACCATGTCACAACAGATTAGCAGCACAGTGCAGCAGCCCCTTACTACTGAGGGTTTATATTCTTGCATGGTTGTCTGGCTAGAACTGGATCATTAAGATATGGGATAAAGGGGCTGGAGAGATGGCACAACAGTTAAGAGCACTGGCTGCTCTTTCAGAGGACCCGAGTTCAATTCCCAGCACCCACATGGCGGCTAACAACTGTCCATAACTCCAGTTCCAGAGGATCTGAATGAAGCCCTCTTCTGATTTCTGTGGGTATGACATGGGTGTACTTGTATATATGCAGACAATACACTCATGGTATAAATATAATTACAATTAAAAACAATAAAAGTCATACCACTTAGTGCAGATTGTTCTGGAAGGCATCTACTTCCAAAACAAAACTCTTGTATTCCTATTTTGTCACTTTTATACTTTAGCAAGAAGCTTAAAGACCTGGGTGTTATTGACATAGTTCAGGGACACAATTTTCTGGGCCTAGATTAAATGAAGGTAAAATTTCTCAAACTCACTTGAACAGGAATGGAAATTATCTGGTGTTTACCATAGGGGAAAACTAAACCATTCATCTGTTTTTTCTAAAGATCACAGAACAATGAGTGTATGGGCCCAAAAAGTTCTCAAAACTACCAAATTACATAGTGGCCAGCTTGGCCATTAAAGGCCATATTTCTAAACATCAAGAGTTTGGTTCACAGATTTGAGGTCTGAGGTAATGAATGTATGACACAAAATACCTGGTTTCAAAAAATACCTTTCCCCAGCTGGAGACAGGGCTCAGTGGTAAAACATTTGCCTAGCACAAGCAAATGTTCCCCAGCAACACACATACACACCAAAAACTTCCCAGTTTCAAAAGGACAGCCTTCCAAAGAAACTACAACCTTTTACTATGTGACCACCAACAACCAACTCCCATCAGTCACTGCATCAAACACTGTATTCTGCATGAAAAACAACTGAGCACTGTGCTGGAATGCTGATGCACAGATAGTACCGAGAACTGGTTACTCAGAGGGCCTCCTCCACGTGCAAGGGCAATGAGTGATTTAGAGAAGTAGATGACCAGCACAAACTCTCAAGTGTGCTGCCCAGTGACTAGGACACTATCAATACTGCAACCTGCCCCTCTAGTTTTAAGCTCCCATTTATTACAAAGGTTACACATGCAGCAGAATTTGGCCCCAAGCACAGTAAAGGGAGGACACTATTAGCCACCAACATGCTGGTCTCAAATGCTGACTGAAAACATGACACAGTTTCTGCAAACCCAAGAATGAAACTAGCTCAATCACTTAGTAATATGGTTTCAGGTACTACACAGACCTCCAAAGAATAAGCACCATGCTGCAATAAAAGCTTGACTATTTACACCATGTACTCATCTTAAGAAAGTCTTATAATTAGAAAAATAATACAAGCAATTTCAATTTAATCTAGATACAGGTACTTTATTTACAAATATTTAGATTAATAGCATTTTGTTACATCAAATGAAGAGTACAGCAGTCTGAATAAATCCTTCTGTCACAAAAACAATTAAGACCCACTGTAACTAACTTTGGGAATCAGGGTATTGCACCTAAACAAGCCACAGTCTTTAGTTTGTGATTGCTACCTTATATCCCAATGGTGGTTTATTTTGTTTTTGTAAATATATACACAGACCAGCAGGTCATGGTCCCTGGGCGAATCCCTTGTGATGCAACAGTATAAGCAAAATGGATTACTGTAAGTCTTTAATAGAATACACCAATCTACTCCAGGATTTTTTTTTAAAGTTAAAGACAAAAAGATGAATTCACAAATCGAATCCTATTTTCTGCACATTCCAGTTTTGGCTTTTATTTAACATTGACTATACAAAACTCTGGAACCTACCATGTTTATAACCCAGAAAGATGTAATTTTACGTTAGTGTCTGTAAGAGGGATTTAAAATGTGTACTTTAAACACAGCATTGAGCTGAGTGCATTTTATATAATAATATACCTGGGCTTACCTACCCTATACTTCAAATAACTTCTCAATTCCCAGCCACCATAAGCTCAGCTAGAAATCAGTAACAGAAGAAAAGAACTTAATAAAACAGAAGTTTGTCTAAAGATCTGTTTCTCTTGCAAGAGGGTATTCTTTCAGCGGCCAGACCACCCAGTGCAAAGCAGTGACTTACCTTCTGGCAGCGCAAACACTGAAACACAATTAGAAACACTTGCTCTTTATAATTTACGCCAACATGACATAAAACAGCCCCTCATACTATAAATACAAAGGATAATATTAAATGATTTCATTGTAGTGTTAAAAATGCACAATTTAAATCCCTTAACAGCAGACTTATGGTTCTGGCTATCTGGTTCAGAAGCTAACCATTCCAAGATAAAAGTATAAAAGCTTAAATGTGCAATATTAAACCCAGCCTTTTTCCTTTTTCTATACAATAAGGCAAGAATGCAGCCTGTAACACAAAATGTTTACAAAAAAAGAGAAAAGCAGGTTAGCACATTGTCAATTGCACAAGAACAGTTAAGAAAATCAGCAGGTAAGCCACAGTGCAAAGATGGAATAGAATCTCCGCTAGTGTTAATCTGCTGATGCCAGGAGCTCTTTCCAGCACAATGTCTGTCCCCACACACTGCCAGCACCAAGGAGTGGAGCCAGTATTACCTGTGAACTGCAGTTGTTTCTATTTCCTTGTGTGAAATGGAAGAGAGTAATGTGGTCAGATAGGTCACACTGTACAAACTGGTATCTTATACTGTTCCAATGCCAGTAATCAATTTATTTTCTTCATTAAAATAATATACACAGAAGGTAAAATTGTTAGTTCGGTTCCTTCAAATTTTATACATATTTACTTGCTGTTAAAGAGAAAGGGATAAAACGATGTAAAAAAAGATAAAGCTATTAAGCACAAGAGAAAAGATAAATGGATAATTTCCCTATGCAAGGCTAAGATAAAAAGCACATTCATCAAGAAAAATGCCACCCCTACAGCAGGGAATTTACCCAACAAAAACAAAACAGAAGCAGTTACAGACCCCTGTTCTCTACCATCAGAAGTCATTTCACAGCAATAAACTTATTGGCTACAACAGACATACTTGAACAGTTTAAAGATGGGAGAAAGGGTGAAGATCAAATTTAAACCATACAGTGAGACGAAGCCTTGCCAAAAGGGAAGGTAAAAATCAAGTCCAGCATCAGTGCTCAGTTTAAATCATGTATTGGTGACATACCGATCACAAGGACAATCAAGGGGGAGAAAGTCTAGATTTACCATGCAGGAGAGATTTATTACTCTACTTGCCTTTGATAACCTGATTACATCTAGTTGTTTAGCAGTTTAGTATTGTTAAACTGTTTTTACAAGAGTTGTTTTTTTCTTTTTTTAATTAAACCCAGTAAGATGTACAGAAGACAAGGAGGCAGTAAAAAGTACTGCTTCCAACAGACAGAGGTGAACGGTCAAATGAGGGGCCAGAGCAAAGAGGTCACTAGCAGCCACAGCCTTCTCTCTGGGGTTGGGGTTCACTGGTTAGCCGTCCTCCCTGCGGGGCTGAGGGTTTGTGTTGTACACCAGACTCGGCAGCATTCAGATCCAGGCTTCCATCTTGAATGTTCTGATAGATTTTCTTGGCAGCCTCAAGAAAAGCATCTTCTACATTCTCTCCCCTAAGAGGCAATCAACAACTTTATTTATGAAGCACAACTTTCAAGAAAATGTAAGACATTAACATCGACCTTTTGTTAACCTTTGGTCGACTGCCATGATGTCTTCAACTTAGCCACTGTCATCTAGTAAGAGATTACCAGAAGACTGAGCTAAAAGAACAACATGGGAAATGTTTTCGGTGGAATGCACACAACATAGTAAGTACTAAGAGCTGTTTCTGAACTCTACTTGGATACTCATGTGTTCTACTCATTAAAACACATTACATGACAGTTGAGCTACACCAATCCAGAGATAAGAGAGCAGATTTTCCAAACAAAATCTCTCCAAATATGCTCAACAGGGTTCCAGGCTTTGTAGTCTCAATAGCCAAGCATGACCTACGCTATTTTTATCATTGACGGTGACAGTCAAGCTTAGCCATGTTCACACTTCATTCAGTTCTCTTGGGACTAACAACAGAGTAAGTGAACAGAAAGTACGCCACAGGCCAGCCTGAGCTACAGGGAGACCCTGTCTCAAAAAGATCCCCCAAACCCCAAAAAGACAAAAAACAGGTTAGTCTGCCCTTGCCACTACAAGCACTTCTCTAATACATGAAGAAATGACTAGGAGTACTAGGACTCAATAATGGAAGAACAATTAGAAAATGTTCAGTATGCTTCTAATTGACACTGAGTACTTTCACAAGTCATGCTTTATGATGCTAAACAAACAGGTTAGCCAAGCTTGGGTCCAACTCAACCTCAGTTATTATGAAAGTCAAACACTTGTGAAATGTAAGCACAATTTCACTTATTAACTTGCGTTATCAATGGGCATAATCAAGGTACAATCCTTTAACAAATATTCACATTTTGACTGTGAAATAGGAAAAAACCTTTGCTTACTGCTCTTCCTGCCATAAGCACTGTGTATGTGTTCAATACACTATGTACAAATCCCACGCATAGTGTTCATAGACATCATACACTTACACTGCATGGTTCTACTCACAATCTGCATATAACTGAAACAGCTACATTTCAGCCATACTTACGTTTTTGCACTTGCTTCAAGGAACAATAAGCCTAAAAATAAAATTCAGACTATAATTAGGACATTTCAAATTCGCATCTGAGTAAGTTCCCCATCCACTGTCAGGACTCCCACTATAGCATTTATAAAAGAGGGTGTGCTCTAAGGTTCAGGGGTATCTTTGTATTTGCAGTTAAATTAACTATACTGCTACTAATATGCATCACAGAAACAGCTTTTTTTCCTCATTCTTGAGATTTCTGAGCAGTCTGCATTTTTTAAAAATTATTGAATAACTTAAATTATCAAAATCACACCTTTCCTTTGAAATTCTCCCCAAATGTAACCATTAAGTCTTAAACCCACCATTTTCTTCAGCAAACTGTTTGGCTTCTTCATATGTAACATCTCTCTGTGCCTCCAGATCTGCTTTATTTCCTATGAGAATTATTACCTAATTTGTGAACAAAAGAAAGGTATCTTAAAACAAAAAGTACCATTTAAAACAAACATGCAAATTCTCAAGATATAAAAATCTTAACGGGAAAAAACTAAGCCCGTAAAAGAAGCCAATACCAGCAATTGTCCTGGGACTTCGAATCCTAAACAGCACTAAGAAAGGATCTTGACAAACCTGGGCATGACAAACTTGCTGTAAAGAACAGACCATAATTTTCAGGATTGTGGTCCACCCCCAAATGGGCTCTGCTGAGTATTATTTTTGTTGTTTTTATAAACCCCTTAAAAATATAAAAGCATTCTTTGATCGCAAGCCATTCAAGAACAGCATGAGTGAATATGGCCCACAAGCCACAATTTGTTTGCACCTGGTCTATGCCAATCACTTTTAAAAGTCTGGGAATGCCCTAGAATTCACCGCAAAATTCTGTAAATATGAACATTCCCTGGAGAAGGCTGGTGACTTTCACATTTTCAAAAGGTTCTGATACCCTGAGAAAGTTAAAAAATACTAGTTCAATTGCCTCAGGCTAATGGTAATTACCTTACTTTAAAGCACAAATAAAACAAAGGAATTTACCAAAAGAGGGCATTAAAACCCAAATAGAAAATGCAAACTGTGACCTACAGACAAATACTGTAAAACACTATCTCTGGGGAGGTATAAATTTGTAGCAACTGATCATGTCTGTGTGTCTGCGAATGGAAAGAAGCCAGGGGATGGGGACACCTATGGCAACAGGTTCATACCCTATGCAAATTATCATACCCCCAATACCCACATTGAAGTCATCTATGCAAGTCGTCAAGTTATGTCAAAGTTAAAGACAATTTGGAAAAATTTTAAAGAAAAAGGCAGCCTTGGGAAACAGCAAAGGATTTTTCTCCCTTACTTGGGACAAAGAAAGGGAGGATGTATGGATAAACCACCTATACACACACACATTGTAGACGTTAACACCCCCTCCCTCTACACATACCTCTCTGCCCCTTCCAACCAGACATAGATAAGTCAGGAATAGATAACTTCAACTTTTTTTTTTGGTCTTTTTGAGACAGGGTCTCCCAGTAGCCCCAGCTGGCCTGGAACTTACTATGTAGACCAAGCTGGCCTTGAACTCACAGAGATCCGCCTGCCTCTGCCTCCCAAGTGCTGGGGTTAAAGGCGTGTGCCACCACATCCGGCAAAAGAAAGCAATTTTTAAAAATCTAACCTTGTATAAGGCCACTGTAAGACAGGTACTCAAAACAAGGAATACTGCTTCCTGGGCTAGGAGTATGAGCTAAGTGGCATTCGCCTAGCAGGCCTAAAGCCATGGCTTTAATCCCCAGCACCTGTCACCATCCTGAAAAAGGAAATACTTTCTCCTTCTAAATTCCATATGAATTTCCAAACTTGGTGTGGTTTGCTATTAACAAAGAGGCACACAACATGCATTAATACCAACAAAAATTAGAAATACATAATCTTACATAGAAACCAAAGGGAATTTCATAGAAAATACAGTAATTTGGGCTGGGCCTGAAAAAAATACCTTTTTCTTCTGAAGATTAGATCTCAAAGAGTGTAAAGAAACAAAAGGACATGGCTAATTTACTATATTCTACATGGACCTTCTGAAGATTTTTTTAACATTTTACTTGAAAAATAAAAGTATAGACTTAGCAAAACATAATGGAAGGTCCTGTGTACCCTTTACCCAATGCCCCCAATGGTAGCTGGGGCTACCACAGCTTACATAGCTACAGTAGATTCTCAAAACCCGGAAGCTAACATTGGTATAATCACAGCCCCTAGATTTTAGTTTTTACGTGCTCATGCATGAGGCTGTGTCCCTGTGTAGATCTATCCCATGTTATTATAGGTATAGACTTGTGTCGCCACAATCAGGCTACAGAACATGATTCTATTGTTACAGAGAACTGCTTTGTGCTGTTTCCTTCACAGTCACATCACCCATCATTCCATTACTAACAACCCCTGGCAACCACTAATTTGTTTCTCCTCTATAATTTTGCTGTTTTGAAATATGTCCTAAATGGATTCATATGGTATGTAAACTTTTGAGACCACAAGTATAATCCCCTTGAAATCCATCTAAGTTGATGCATTTATCAATAATTCATTCTGTGTGTGGCTGAATAGTATTCCATAATATGGAAGCACCAGACTGTTTCACTATTTACCTGTCCATGGCAAAACAGACTGCTTTCACTTTTTAGTTATTACAAATAAAGCTGTTATGAATATATATCAATAGCTTTGTATGTATAGCAGTGGGTTTAGTGTAACAGAAATAAAAGCTCTAAGCACCAATACTAGCAAAACAGCCTCCCACCCATATTAACTGATGGTAAACCACAATTTTTATAAAAATTATAACCAAAGTACTATTCCCTGATAAAGGGAAACTTACCACTGATCTATGTCTTTACTGGCCCAGGCCTCTGCTGGTGCTGGAGATACAAAGCTAAGTGAGACATAGTCCTTGTTCAATGGCTTGCTCACTGTTCTGAGGATACCCTCCTGGGTCCCTAATTCAAGGCCCAACTTGCACCCCAGCTGTCTACAAAGATGGTTTTCTTCACACAGCCCTGCTCATCCTGCTCACTAATCCTAATTCATTTTTCAGGTGGTTTTTCAGCTTTTCTGTAAACCTGCAGGTTCTCTCTGCTAGACAATAATCATTTGAAGACCAAAGACATGTTTAGTAACTGGCCTTTAAAAATCTCAATAATTATCTTCTTATTCTGGCTAAGAAATTTTTTAAGCATACAGAATACTTTTTATTTTTAATTGAAATATTATTCAGAAAATTACAGATTCAAATGCAGGTAGGAAGAAATCAGAAAGATCCCTTGTGGGGCTGGGAGATGGCTCAGAGATTAAGAGCACTTCCTCTTCCAAAGCTAACAACCTGTCCAGGAGTGCCCTCTTCTGGCGTCTGCAGGGACCAGGCATGGATGTGGTTTATGTACATATAAGCAGGCAAAACACTCATACACATACTTCATGCAGACCCTTTCTAGATTATAATTTCAGACTATAAAGTCTCCACATGAGAGAGATCACCACCCCATTCAGAGCTTTCCTTTTTTTGGATCCCAAACATAACAAAAAGTATAGTAAAATGGAAGGTCTGGAGCAACTAGAACTGAAAAATTAAGTTTTCTGCAATTAATTTAAGAATAAAATAAAGATTTGGGGGACTGAAGATCAAGTTCAGTGGTAGATCACTTGCCTAGCATACATGAGGCCTCGATCTCCAGCACCAGAGAAAATACAAGTGTATCAATGAATAAATAATCTCTCATTTGTAATACCCAAGTAACAAAATCTCACCAGTAAAAGGCTTTCCTGTTTGGGTTAGCTTTGACTTGAAAATTTCTGTACAGTAAGATGTTATTTAACTTACAGTATTTGGATTGGTGAGATTCCTTGCATCTGTCAACCAGCTGCTTAAGTGGTTATATGTACTTCTTCTGCAAAATTAAAATTTAAATTTGTTGACTTCCACATACAATTGTCACGTATACAAAAAAAAAAAAAAAAAAAAAAAAAAAAAAAGAAAGAGAAACCAATAAATACTTAAAAATACAGCCAAGTGTGTTATGACACACACAGGTAACCCTAGCAATTAGAAGGCTGGGGTGGGACAGAGGGATCCTGAGTTTGAGGCCATCATGGCCATCAATGAGTTCCAGGTTAGCCTGGACTACACGGTGATACCTTGTCTCAAAAGAAACAAGCAAACATATGTAAATATAGCTGTAAAATACAACTACATAATTTCCAAAAACCTGGCCAAACTTTTTATTTTCTGAGTCATAATTGTGTAGTTGAGGCCAGTTCCAACTCCTACATAGCCAACATTCTATTCTTGATCTTCCCAAATCATGGATTACAAGTGTGTGCCACCATACCTGACCCAAAACTCATTATTTTTTAATAGCTCAATGTCCAACAACTATGCTAATGACATCATGAATTAAGCTGTTTACATTTAAAAGGGCACCTATAAACACACCAATATCCAAGCAAGGAACAACATAGAAAACCCAGAATCAGGATTTGTAATTTAGAGTCAAAACTAATATTCTCTGAAATCATCCAGATTTTCAATTACAAAATGGAGACAAAGTATGAAAATGCCTAGCCAACAATATACTCAGGGAGAACCAAAAAAAAAAAAAAAATTTCTGACTTATGAATTCACCTAACGTTATGCCATCTCATTCATTTAATATGTGAGGAAACAAAGATCCATAAAGATCTGAACATCAGAGTATAAGGCCTACAAACAACATGTCAAAGTGTTTCTAGGTTAGCACTAAAAATATATTCCATTTCACACAGATAATATTCCAACTATTCAACTATTCTAAATATTTAATCTTTTCTCAATGAGACACGAACTCCTTACTCAGAATATTGGGGGGGGGGTAGCTAAATTATATTATGCATAAGTTACTAACTAAATGTCAAAAATAAGTATCGTATATATCAAGATAGTTTTTCCCTAATTACTAAAAAATTTCTAAGTATACAATAATCAAGTATCATTTTTAAAAAATACAAGCCCTACATGGGCATGGTAGAGACATGCCTTTAATCCCAGCACTCCAGAGGCAGAGGCAGAGGCAGGCAGATGGCTGTGAGATTAAGGCTAGCCTAAGATGAGCTACATAGTGAGACCCTGTCTCAAAAAAACAAAAAGTAGCTGAAGAGATGACTCAGTGATTAAGAGCATTAGCTGCTCTTGCAGGGGACCCAGGTTTGGTTCCTAGCACCCATATGGCAGCTAACAACCAGTGGAAACTTTAGTTTCAGAAGAAATGATGCCCTCTCCTGACCTCCCAGAGTACTTCACACATGTGGTACACTTAAATACATGCAGATGAAACACTCACACATAAAAAATTTTAAAGCACAAGTCTTACCACTGTTTAACATTTACTACCATACCTTGATTTTACAACAGTGATTATTTCACTTCATGAACAAATGTTAATTCCAAACATACTTGTATTTGCTTTGATACATGTTATAATTTCAAAGCTGGCAGGGAAAACTCACCACTGTGGTTAAGAATTCTATACTTCATTTGTTAGTAGTATCAAGAGCATGTAAACCATATGATTTATATGTACATTAACCTGTACCAATGATTAATGCTATTTACTATGTTACTGACTTAAAATTCACTGTAATTTTAAACTGACACATTCAAATACTCATTAATTGTTGGTACTAGTGATAAAATATTTCTAACTTTAGGGAGGATACATATAACTAGCAAAACAAATCCCTTAAGTTTTGCTGTCAATTTAGAAAACTGCCTTGTAACAACTGCAGTTAATGCCAAGATAGAAACTATTAAAAGTAGCAACTTTTTAAGTTTGCAAAATGCCAAAGATAAAAAGAAACTGGTGTCATGACTCCACCATCAACCTCACAATGAACTGTCAAAAGTCACAAAAGAACCTGTCTAAAGCCCAAAGTAATTGTTTCAATAAGTTACATTGAGGTATAATTAATGTATCATAAGAGCTTATCCACTTAAAATGTATAATTTAGGTTTTACTATCACCACTATCAAATTTTAGAACATTCACAGGAAGTCAAAAGAGAAACCCTGTACCCAGTAACTCCCCTCTTCCTTCTGCCTCTGTGGACTGCCTATTCCAGATATTTAAGAAACAGAATCATGTGGGTTTTTGTGTCTGATTCCTTTCATTTAGCATGTTTTCTAGGTTCAATTACATATAGCATGTATCAGTCATTCCTTTTTACAGCTCAAATATATTTCATAGTATGGATACACCACATGATGTTTACCCATTTGTTTAGTTGGTGGACATATCTGCTGTTTTCATACGAAGTACTTTTGATGACTTGAATACACAAATTTTGTCATAGCACTACCACACTTAAAGGGTATATTTAAATGCAAAACAAAATACATTTTAAATATAAACCATCATATTTAAATGTGCTGATGATGACTTGAATACACAAATTTTGTCATAATACCACCATGCTTAAAGGGTATGTTTAAATGCAAAACAAATTATATTTTAAGCATAAATCATATTTAAATGTGCTGATGATGTGTGGGGTTTTTAATTATGTGAAGTCTTCAGGAATGCAGTATAGATGGCCAGGTTTTTTAATAGTCCTCCCACAATACCACTTACTGATCATGTTACCAACTGTCCAATAGAGTAAACAGCATTAAGGCTTGTCTCACTGTTTTGCTGAGACCATCCAGTTCTAAGAATTTACTGAGGCTTTATGTACTATAATTATAATCAGTCATTATCATTACTCTAAGGCAGCATTTCCAAAATTGTGTTCCTCGGTAAAAGAGGCTTAGAAAAGACCAAAGTAAACAAAGTTAAACAGTAGGAATTTCTTCATAGCAGAACTTTTCAAGGTCTTAATATGCTCATGTGCACTCTGAATCTTGAAGATGAAATAGCACAAAGCATTTCCCAAAAAGGAATAAGCTTTGAACTGTCATCTGGTCCCACTCAGCTATCTCTACCTCCTAAAAAGAGGGATTTTCATGGGGTATTTTAGGCTAGCACACTGCATCACCATGAAAGATGATCAATTCATTTTTCTAGCCTATAGCAAACTAACAGTACCAAAATGAATGATCAATTCATTTTCTAGCCTACAGCAATCAACAGGTCTGATGAACTGGCAGTTTGCCCCCTCCCTTTTCCAAAGTCAAACCTTTACAGTCCAGTTTTTCACATTAAACACTCTGAATTTCCAGAATGAGCCATGCTGACACAAAAAGTCACTTCAATCCATGATAGAACAAAAGAGAATTTAAGTAAATGAAAAATTACTCGTGTATAAACCACCACCTAAATGTCAAGAAATTCAAACACATCAAAATAGTGCCTTTTTTGCCTATAGATGAAAATACAAAATTTTTTTACCATTCATAATGTTACACTGACAAAACTAAGTATTAAACTCTTTGGCCCTATTTGTAAAGGGTATAATTTTTATCATGAGAGACTGAATATAGTAATTCCTCAAGACTTGCTTGCTTTCCACTGAGAAGAGAATCATTTCTTATAAAATCATTTTTCCACAAACAATTCAATTGATGATGCTTTTCAGATTATGGATATTTGTTTTTTTGCTTTAAGAAGAGTCTCACTGTGCAGCCCTGACTAGCCTATAACTCTGTATGTAGACCAAACTGGCCTTAAACTCATAGAGATCCACTTGCCTCTGCTAGAATTAAAGGCATACACCACCACGGTTGACCTAGATTGTATTCTTTTATTCTCCCTATTATCTCAATGGTCTTTTATTAATCATATCAACCTTCAGAAAAGAGAATCAGTGTGTTACTTCAAGGTTTTCACAGTAACTTAGCATATAAACTATAATCAAATAAATTCATTAACAGACATCCAATTACAAGCTAAAGAAGACTAAATCAATTAAAAAAAAAAAAAAGAAACCACATTGCCCAAAGTAGACTTCTATTCCCAAGAATGAAGGCTGAGAAATTGCTCCTCTCTTACCTAGTGATATCATACACCATCAGTGCGCCCGCAGCTCCTCTGTAGTAACTTCGAGTAACAGCTCTAAACCGCTCCTGTCCTGCTGTATCCCAAATCTGCAGTTTGATTTTTTGGCCACTAACTTCAATTATTCTTGTACCAAATTCAACACCAATTGTATGAGGACAATCAGCCATAACTGTTAGAGAAAAAAGTAGTATCCTAATTTTAGAAAAATTTCAAATGACTATGGGGAAAAAAAAGTCTGCTGACTAATCAAATGATTTACTAATACTTGTAGGCTATAAACTATCACAGGGAAAAAAATAGCAACAACCTACAAGAAATCAAGAGAAATATGATTACACTACAATAAGGATCCGCACATTCCCAGATAGAAGTAAACTTTACATTTTGACTTTTGTGAGTTTTTGTTTTGGGGGGTGTTTTATAGTGTGTGTATGTTTGTGTACACACCTAAAGGCCAGAGGTCACATCAGATGCCTTCCGTAACTACTGTCCAACTGATTTCTAGAGACAGGGTCTCCCTTGAACCTGGAGCTCATGCATGAGCCAACCTAGGCTGGCTGATCAATAAGTTCAGGGATCACACTGTCTCCACCTCCCCAGGGAGTGCAGGAATGCACTGTTGTGATCAGCTTTTTTATGGGTTCTGGTGATCAAACTCAGGCCCTCATGTTTGCATGCAAGCATTTTACCAATTAAGCCATCTCCCCACAACTAAATAGCATGTTTTGTAGAGCAAATGGTATTGTGCCACAACTACTCAAACCCACCTCTAAAGTATAAAAGCATAGTCAATTTAATATATAAAAAACAGGCATGATTGTCTTCCAAAAACTCTTTTGGGTTTTTTTTTTTTTGTAATAAAACAAGGTGTGATCAGATTTAGCTAACTGGCTAGTTTGCTGACCTCCAGACTAAAAGAATCTGCTAAGTAAAAGTAAGAATTTTAATTAATTCATCATAATACCAACACTATACTATTTAGCCTTCTGACAACCATTACCCATAATAAATCAATGAACATATGAAAATATTATCAGTGTCTCGAAGAAAATCACATTTGATAAATACGTGAACACTGGAAAGTTATATATGCCTAAGCCAAGTATATTAAACTTGGTATGATTAGGGCCACTTAAAACCTAAGTTCACTTATGCCAATCTGTAGACTGAGATACTCCATAAAATGTTACATAAAATCTTTGTGGTAAGCAGCACAAAATGCCACAGAAACCATTTCAATTATATTTTGCTTATCAGCTACAACAAACTTGCCTCTTCCCCTACCACCTAAGATAAGAGTTTTACTGAATTTTAACCAGTCATAAAGACAGAAAAAATTTTATTTTCAATATTTTGAAATTACTAATTATTGCAAAGAAATGATACACGCAGCAAAAAAATGTTCATTAAGATAAGTTTCAGGGAGCCAAAGAGATAGCTCAATGATTAAGAGCACTTGCTGCCCTTTCTAGAGGATCAGAATTCAGTTCCCAGCACCCACCAACATACGGCAGTTCATAATTGCCTGTAACTCCAGATCCAGGGGATCCAATGCCTTCTTTTGTCCTCCGTGGTACACTTACAATACATGTAGTCAAAACATTCATACACATAAAATAAAAATATTTAAAAATAAATTTCTTAAGGAATAAAAATAAGATTTAAATTTAATGCTATTTTATACATTTTAAAAATTAACTTTATGTTTGTACCTTCAAGAAATTAAAAAAGTCGGGGAAAGTGGTGCATGCCTTTAATCTCAGCACACATATTGGGAGTTTGAGGCTAGTCAGGGCTACATAGTGAGACCCCGATCCAAAATAATGCACAAAAAACAACATATAGCTGGGTGTGGTTGTGCCTGCCTTTAATCCCAACACTGGGAAGGCAGAGGCTAGAGAACCTCTGTGAAATCGAGGTAGGCCTGATCTGCATAGAGAGTTCCAGGTCAGCTGGGGCTACAGGGAGACCCTGTCTCAAAAAAAACCCAAAATACCATATGGTAGCCCATGCTTTTAAACCCAGCATTGGAGAGGCAGAGGCAGAGACAGACACATCTCTGAGTTTGAGGCCAGCCTGGTCTACATAGTGTCTCAAAAAAAACAAAACAAAAATCAACATACACGCTGATAATACTGCATTTTATCTGCACTCTATTAAAAAATCATGGCACTTAAAAACATAAGTGTAAATATGGAGAGAGGTTATATTTAAATGCATAAAGTACACTGAAAACAACATTTCAAAAGTAAAAATGTGACAATAAAGCTACTAAAATTTTACTTTACATATTGAACTTACATTTTTTTTCTGTAAATTGATGAAGCAAGCAAGATTTTCCTACTCCCATATCTCCTGTTTAAAAAGAGAAAATGAGTTTCAGGTGGCAACTGTATTTCTCAATTTTATACCCTTATCATATGAAATGACTGCCAGACTCCTTATATCACACCAGAAGTTTCTGGACACTTATAACACCTGTATTCCCCTCATTTATAATGGATGCAAATGATGTACAGGTCACTTTTCACTGTGGTATACAAACTGACCGTTTCTAACCTGTAGCAGGATAGAGTAGTAAAGTACTGTTTAATAAATAACTGCCAAGTAGGAAGTGCTCTGTAACAGAAAAATTACTGTAATGGTACTTTTAAATTTGAACTATTTTAAGTTTGGTACCCCCACCTCCTCCTTTGGTCTATACATAGAAGCAAGTAACAAATGAGGTGCCCATACAGCAAACAGAAATAACAAACTAAATTTTGGAAGCTTGACTCACTTAGTTTCCTGTTTTTTATTTCTTATAAAATAACTCACATTACAACAGATGTCATCTCTGGCTATATTATAGCAATTGTTACCCATGTTGAAGGAAGTATTACAAAGTTACATAAACTCAACATCAGGGAGAAAATCATGCAGGCTTTCTTTTTATTTATTTGTAATTTTTGTTTTTGTTTTGTTTTCCATGGTAGAGGTCAAACCCAAAGCCTTGGGCATGCTTGTAAGAGCTCTACTACTGGTCTACATCTACCAGCCAGCCCCCAACACCTGGGCTTTTACCTGATATTTTGTAAACAAGCATGAATAAACAATAAAACGTAATTCAAGCAAAATCTTCTTGAAACTTAAGGGAAAACAATAGTCCATTTTGTATGTATTACACCACTGGTTGTGAATCAAACAGGACTAGGACTCTCTACCAATTTTGGAATTCAGAGAAACCCTGAAATTTTTCCTAATGATTCTGAAGTATTTCAGTAGTAGTAGGATATAAACCTCATTCCCAATCCTAACAAGCTTGAAGGTAGCCTGGAAGAACCACCAACTTCTCACTTCACTAGCACCCAAAATAGACCACAAAAGTACCAGGACCATTTATCCTCATCCAAGGAGCTTTTAGTTCTGAGGTCAGAAAATCATTCACTTCTTCTGTGCAATGTTTAAGCATTGGTATATGAACATTAAGTATTGGTATATTAACTTTATTTAAAGGACAACAGTACAAGTTAGATAAACTTACCAATAATAATATACTTAAAGATGTAAGAGTAGTTGTATGGTGCAGTTGCCATGGTGGCACTAAAAACAAAGAAAACGTGTGTTACTTCAGAAAAAAAACTACACACAAGTTATTCAAACTAATTACTGCTATCCTCTCAAAAGACATATATATATACATATAGATATAATACACACATCTTTTAAATATATATCTTATATATGATATATATAATAAAGCACAATGGCTATACAAAATGTTGATTATATGGCCAGTAAAATTTATTTCCCAAATGGATCAAAACACAAATTCTCTTGTGAATGAATGTTGCTTTAATATTGTGTCATTAATAGAAATATGAGAAAGTGTTTTTAAAAACTCGCTATAAAACTGGAGAGATAGTTCAGTGGTTAAGAGTACTGGTTATTCTGGCAGAGGTCACAAGTTCAGTTCCCACCGCCCACATGGAAGCTAACAATCATCTGTAACACCAGTTTCAGGGGATCTGATGGCCTCTTTTGGCCTCTGTTGCCATTGCGCGCACGTGTTTTTACATACATCCAAGTAAAACACTCATGTACATAAAACAAAAATAAAAAACAAAAATTTTTAAACACCATTCTAGAAAATAGCTCAAAACAAGTGTTACTCTAGAAAAATTTCAAAGAGGGTCTTTATAAATTTAAATTAAACATCATTATAAACAGTTCCTTCTCCCTGAAGATCCTTCTCCTTTTTTACTTAAGTTATGGTTTAAAAAGTAACCACTAATTACAAAATAACTTTTATCCTCTACTTTAAATCAGTATTCAGTAAAGAATCTAGAAAAAGAGCAACGATGAATTCCAAATCAAATTGATGTCAAAATTAAGACTGAATTACATGAAATTGTTCTTACTACAGATTTTTTAAAAGCCGGAACAATAATAATTGGTAATTTCATACTGTTCAACTTAATACAACACTCAAAAAATACTCTGTGTCTTCTGTATACTATTCCAGGAGTCGAGAAACAATACTATAAAATTGTACTTACACTTATAAAATTTTAAAGTATATGTATTAAAAGATACTTCTAGCCATCACAGCCTATTCCTTAGCCCTCAGGTAAACTTAACCTAAAAAATTCTAACTCCTATCTTACTTTTAATAACAGCAAAAAAAAAAAAAAAAAAAAAAAAATCTCTCAGGCACACTGGCATACACCTGTAGTGCTTAGTCCTACTCACTTGGGAGACTGAGGGAAAACTGCTTGAATATAGGAGTTTGAGGAGAGTATGGACAATAAAGAGAGACCTATGTCTCAACAGCAACAAAAATTCTCCAAATAATTCATGTGAGTGCCTTAAATGTGCTAAGCACTGTGCTAGGTTCTAGAGAAACAAATTCTAATACTGGTAATAATGTCTAATGAGTTTATTCTTACCAGTTTTCAGCTTAAGGAAAGACAAAAATTACACATCATCAAGATTTAACAATTTAAAGCCAGGTGTGTTGCAGAAGCAGGCGAATCTCTAAGCTATCAAGGCCAGCCTAGTCTACATACCCAGTTCTAGGCCAGCTGAGTTTATAGGGAGACCCTGTCTCCAAAACAGAACAAAAAAATTTTTAATAGCTTTAAATTTTGGGGGTTTATAGATTTCTAATAACTTTTGTGGTACAATACAATAGTATTTCAAATCAAATTTCAATACAATGAAATTCAGTCTATAGGAAGAATATCTGTTATGTGATTAAAGAACTGATAATTATTAAAGATCACCTCACATAATATATGTAGTTTTCACTTTGCTCTATGTACATTCAACACAATGCATGTCTCACTCCCCAGTCCATCTCAACATGTCCTAACACATTTAGAATCAGACATACACATCACAGAAAACTCACTCAACCTGTTCTTTGGAGGAGTTTTTCTAGTTATATTAGCTATGATTCTAAACATTGTAACTTTTACCTCTTTCCAGACACTGCTGGGGCGGGGAGGATGGGACCCACACACAAAACCCCTAATTTACCATTTTTAAGATTAAATTCTTAACTTGTATCAATTTTTTTTCAAGGAAATGGTACACTTTTTCCTTCTAATTAATTTTCCTAATTAATTCCTAAAACTTTCAAACAATCATTTAGGTGCCTCTGAACTAATATTTTGTGTGCTCCTCCCCTTGATTTTTCCTATTTTCTTTCCCTCTTCTGATTAAAATTGTAAATGTATATACTTAGCTTCCTTCTATTTTGTTACATTAAAATTATAGGGCCTGCAGTGTATCTCAGTGGTGGAGTGCATGCTTAACATTCACAAAGCCATGAGACTTCAGTCCTCAGCACAAGAACACACACAAAAAGTATGGACTGTAACAATCCCAAATTCAACTTGAAATGCTCTGAAGACTAATCACAAAATTATAACCCAATTTCTAGTTGGACTAACCTGTATAAATGCTACTTAGTACACAAAATATTTAGCGAATATCAATTAAAATAATGAATTTTGAGAGTATTTTAAATAATAAGCATTAATATAATATTATCTCCAAATAAATAATCATTGTTTCAGAATGAATACCAGTGCTTTGTTTCTACCTCACCCCAACAATTTTCTGGCCCAAGTTTCATTAAAATTGCAAATAAACTGCTGGAGAGATGGCTCAGTGGTTAAGAGCACTGGCTGCTCCTGCAGAGGACGCGGTTGAAATTCCAGCACCCACATGGTGGCTAACGACTGTCTGAAACTCTAGTTCCAGGATGCCCTCTTCTATCTTCTGCAGGCAATGTGCAACAAGGGTGCACTTATGTACATGCAAGTATAACACTCACACACATAAAATATAAATAAATAATAAATAAATAAATAAATAAATAAATAAATAAATAAAATGAAATTACAAATAAAAAACCCTAAGAGCAGAAATAGAGGGAAACTAGTGCTGGAGATGAAGCTCAGTTGGTCTGGAACTCATTATGCAGTCCCATTTGTAATATTCCTGCTTCAGCCTTCTGATTTAATGCTAGAACTAAGGCATGCGCCACCACCCCAGTTTTCTTCCTTCCTTCCCCATCCCTTTTTTTAAAACAGAAATCATTTGGATAAAGTTGACATCTCCTTTAATGCCTTTGATTTCTTTAAAAAAAAAAAAAAGAAAGAAAGAAAAATGATCACTGCATTTCAGAGAGCAGGCATCATTAAAATACATGAACACTTGTAAACTTATAACACAGTCAAGATTTTCCATTTACTGGGCACTTAATATGTACAGGCAATACCTAGCCACTTTGTGACTTCATCTCGACTGTTGTCCTTAAGATAGTTGCTATTATCCTCATTTTACAGGAAATAGCCTCAACAGGAAAGTAGTATGTCCAGGTCACACAGTTTGTTATAAGTCTATACTGAATCCAGTTTTGCTTGACCATAAGCATTACCCTCTTAAGCACTGCACCATGCTGCCTCCTCCAGATGATTATGAGCTGTACCATAAAGCACACCAGTGGTACTTTAGAGGACAGACCTTTCAGTCACTTGACTGTAATTTAACACTGTGAATAAGAAATTAAAATAATTAATTTTGGGTATACCTAGACTTAAAAAACTAACTATAGATGTCTAGTAGTACTGGTAATAATTTATAATTTATCTACCGTTAAAAAGTTTAAGATGAACATCTGAGAATACATATGATGATCTGTATTACTTTTCCCTATACTGTCTTAATTTTCACAGCTTTATAAAGCCATTATTACTCTCATGCAAAAAACTGAAGAAATTGAGATTTGGAGAAATCTATTACTTTGGTCATTGTTCTATATTTAGTGAACGATAGACCTGGAACTTCAACCCAGGGGCTTGATTCCAAAGACCAAGATTTTCTCTACCTAAAGTAGCTTAATTTTAATTAAAGTCATACAAAGGTGGATAACCTCCCTAGCAATCAGAAGAAATGTTTACCAAATACCTCATAAGCACTAATAACTGTGTCAGGTGGCCTCTTCTAAATACTCAGCATGCTTATTGCTAATTTAACAAAGGATTTCTCAATTTTATCCCAACACAAAACATGCCTCTATTAAGAAGAGAAATAAGCTTTATTTAAAAAGTGAGGTATATCAGTCAGGTATGGTGGTACACACCTTCGCTCCCAGCAGAGACAGGGATCTGTCTTTGTTGTGCCAAAAAAAAAAAAAAAAAAAAAGATCCGATCCCTTCCTGAATAAGGTTATTTAAATGGTCAGCTTTGAAATGTGCTGGTACAGATGTGGAAGTACACTTTCATACACACTGTACATTTTTGGGAGGTTTACAGTATACTTACTCGTCTTAAAAATAATCAATTCGCCAAGTGTGGTGGCTCATACCTTTAATCCCAGCACTTGGGAGGCAGAGGCAGGCGGATCTCTGTAAGACCTGGCCAGCTTGGTCTACAAAGTGAG